TTTCTTCCCTACATACTATCAACCTGCAAATAAGCAGGATTTCTTTGAAGCGTGTTCCTGTATATTGGGGTACACAGTGGTGACAGCAGGAGGCTTTCGGCTCTTGGACCCCAGACCTTGCAGCAGCTCTATGTCTGCCGGCATCGTTATTTCAACTTCCAGCCATGCTTTCCCCAGCCAGTGGCCAAGGTGGGGATCTGGGATAATTCATACACTGACTCTGGACTTATCCTCCAAGCCACCTGACAAGCCTCTCTACTCCACAGTTGTTTGTGAGTGCAACCATTGATTTTATTTTGTCCAATAAAACTTCCTTATGCATGCTACACTATGGGGTGTGCTGAGAGGCTGGCCAGAGTGATTGGAGGGCTGTCTCCTGCGGAGAGATCCCAGTTGGCAGAAGTCTTGGCGGAACCCATGGCCATCTCCAAAGCTGGCGATGCCATGAGTGGGGTTACATTGCTACTAAGTGACCCCTGAATCCTATGGAGTGTGGTTTAGTTAGATGGATGTCCTTGTTTGCTCTACCAGGTCTAGTTGCAGATCCAGACATGCTAAGCTCTGTGATGAAGGTAAGGGGGAAAAGTGTACATGCTCTCATAGACTCAGGGAGCCTGGTTACCATAGTCCACACCCGGTTTGTGAACTCTGAACAGCTGACCTAGCACCAGACAGAAGTGGTGTGCATGCATGGCAACTGTAATAAGTACCCAACAGCACTGGTGAACTTTGAGATCAGCTGGGAACTTGTTTGCCGTGAAGTGGCTGTGCCCCTAGTCCTGTTGCACAGTGTAAGATTGGGAAGAGATTTTTCACTGGTCTGGGAACTTTGCCGTGGTAAGGAAAAAAAGCTCAGAGCCTGGAAAGTCTATAGGGACTGCAGAATAGACACTTAACCTCATTGAACAAAAATTTGATAATAATGTAGGGATAACCACTGGTGAAAATATCTCTCTTCTTCTAGCGGACTTTTTGGGTGAACCAGAGGTGGCCTCAGAGACCTTTGAGATGCCTGATGTGCCAGAGCTAGGAGGTATCTTGAGACAATTTTGGAACTGTCCAGTTATATCGCCCTATTCTTGAAAAGTCTAGAAAAATGTTAAACAGTCGGAGCCTGGTAGCTCTGGTGCTCAAAAACGTATTCCCTCTCCTTCCAGTCCCAATCCCCCCTCATTACCTCCGCACACTGCAGCGTCGCATCTTTTCCTATGTATGGGGAAATACTCGTCCTCGTATACCCCGCTCCACCCTATACCGCCCTAAGCTCGATGGAGGTCTAGGCCTACCCGACATCGGCAAATATTATCAAGCAGCGCATTTAGCCCAATTACCTAAATATCATGCAACCTTTGAAATCCCTCAATGGGTTGCACTTGAATCAATAGAATGTGATCCCTTATCCACAGCTAACCTACTTTGGTTGGGGCCAATAGACCACCGCTCTATAACCAACCCCATCACTTCTCACTTTTTATCCTTATGGGATAAACTGAAAACCCATTATCTCCTCCAATCACTGCATAATCCTATGCTCTCGTTTCTATGAAACCCAGCTTTTCCCCCAGCCTGGCAGACACCCCGTTTATTCAAAGCCTGGTCCTCTGCTAATTTGCTCCGTACGCATCACTTCCTACAGAGGAATAAGTTTAAATCCTTTGCCTCGCTGCGGGAAACGCATAGCCTCCCAGATATTTAGATACTTGCAGCTACAACACTTTTACGCCCCCTACGCTACAATAACCAATCGACCAGACACCATGTCTCTCTTTGAACGAGCGTGTTGCAAAGACTCTCATAGACGTGGGCTTATCTCCTGCTTATACTCACTCTTCGCCACTTCGACCACCACGTCCCCCCCTCTATATACCCATAAATGGGAAGTGGATCTAGGTAAGAAATTTGACCCGTCTGATTGGGACCACATTTGGGCCAACACAAAATCGGCTTCGCAGAACGTTGTAGCATTGGAAACGAATTATAAAGTTTTAACCCGCTGGTACTTGGTCCCAGCGAGAATCGCAAAATTTACCCCTAATTACTCGCCCAATTGTTTTAGAGGCTGTATGGATCTGGGAACACATTACCATATGTGGTGGGACTGCCCTGTAGCCTGAATATTTTGGGATGAAATTTTCACCATGAGATCTACATTTAGCACTATCACTATACAGCCCGACCCAACAACAGCCCTACTCAATCAATGCCCTCCTGGCATCTCCAACTCACAATTTAAGCTCCTTTTGCAAGTTACGACGGCAGCTAAGCAGGTTATAGCGAAGTCTTGGAAATCCCCCACCCTAAGTGTTGCGGCCGTCAAAACCAGAATAACACAAGCCATGATACACGCAAAGGTGGAAGCCACAGTTCTCGACACGATCCCTAAATTCCTGCTCATATGGAGCCCCTGGGTAGAGCGCTTCCTCCCGCCCAACTTTGACGAATCACTCCTTCTCCCTTGAGTTCTGTACTGTGCGCCAAGGATATTGTCAATAGCCCCTCGTACGTAGCACGTAGGGGCTGTTGTAAACTTGATGAACGTTCATGGAGTCATGGTTGTTGTTCTTCTTCCCCTTCCCCCCTTGTCTGACCCCCTCCAAACTTCCCCCTATTTCTTTAATGCACTTGGGAGACATTGCTATGATTGGCTGATACCATATTGTGATCTGTTGTTAACTTTTATTTACCTGTTTCCGTTAGAAATGTATAGGCATTAATACCTTGACCCTCATTCATTTTATTATGTCCTACTGCCACTTTAATGCCTAGTATACATTAACAATGTCTCCTTGTTTGTGTCATTCCGGTTTATTGTTAATAAAATTGTTTGAACAAGAAAAACGTGTTCCCTCATTTTGCAGTTCACCAGTGCTAGGTCCTTATAAGAAAACAGTGTTGGACCTCGTAAATACACATCCCATTGGGGAGGGGGGATTGGGGGGGTCACTTAGCATATGAAAACACCAAACAACATATTTTACAGTGTTTCTTTTTGCCTGGGATACATGCACATGTGAGAAACTACTGTGAGCCTTGTTCAGAGTGGCAAAGGTGTGCTCCTACATTTTATTACTGTAGTCTGCTGGTTCCATTACCTGTGATTGATGTATCTTTTGACTGAATCACAAAAGAATAAACATAGGTAGGAAGCCCTTAAACACTTTGGCATTTGAATGACTTCCCTGCAAGCTCTCCGCTTGTAGCTGAACCATACAATATATATACACAGTGTGTATGTATGTATGTATGTATATATATATATATATACAGTTGTGTCCAAAATTATTCAACCCCCACTGAAATTGAGTGTTTTGGCCAGTTTGACATTGCTTTTGATCATTCAGTCATCTTGCTTACATTTACATTAAAGAGGCACTTGTAGGTCAGACAAATATAACATAACAGTTATAATGAAATAACCACAAATGTCTTTTCTGTGCTCACAGCATTATCAGTTTTATTCAACCCCCAAGTGACATTCAATCTTAGTACTTAGTACAGCATCCTTTTACAGTTATAACAGCTTTTAAACGTGAAGCATAGCTTGACACAAGTGTCTTGCAGCGATCTACGGGTATCTTCGCCCATTCTTCATGGGCAAAGGCCTCCAGTTCAGTCACATTCTTAGGCTTGCGCACTGCAACTGCTTTCTTTAAGTCCCACCAGAGGTTCTCAATCGGATTTAAGTCTGGTGACTGCGATGGCCACTCCAAAATGTTCCAGCCTTTCCTCTGCAACCATGCTCTAGTGGACTTGGAGGTATGCTTGGGATCATTGTCCTGTTGAAAGGTCCAACGTCTCCCAAGCCTCAGGTGTGTGACGGACTGCATCACGTTTCCATCCAATATCTCCTGGTACTGAAGAGAATTCATGGTACCTTGCACACGCTGAAGCTTCCCTGTACCTGCAGAAGCAAAACAGCCCCAAAGCATGATTGACCCTCCACCATGCTTCACAGTAGGCAAGGTGTTCTTTTCATCATAGGCCTTGTTCTTCCTCCTCCAAACATAGCGTTGATCCATGGGCCCAAACAGTTCTAATTTTGTTTCATCAGTCCACAGAACACTATCCCACAACTTTTGTGGTTTGTCCACATGGCTTTTGGCATACTGCAGTCGACTCTTCTTATTCTTTGGAGACAGCAAGGGGGTACGCCTGGGAGTTCTGGCACGGAGGCCTTCATTACGCAGTGTGCGTCTTATTGTCTGGGCTGAAACTTCTGTACCCACATCTGACAAATCTTTTCTCAGTTCCTCAGCAGTCACACGGGGACTTCTCTCCACTCTACGCTTCAGGTAGCGCACAGCAGTCGAAGTCAGCATCTTCTTTCTGCCACGACCAGGTAGCGTTTCAACAGTGCCCTTTGCCTTGAATTTGCGAATGATGCTTCCTAAGGTGTCTCTTGGTATGTTTAACATCTTTGCAATCTTCTTATAGCCATTGCCCTTCCTGTGAAGAGAAATCACCTCTTCTCTTGTCTTCCTGGACCATTCTCTTGCCTTCACCATGTTTGTAACCACACCAGTAAATGTCTAGAAGGAGCTGAGTATCACAGTCATTTTAAAGCTGCCTAATTGGTGCTTATTATGCTTGATTGCTGCTCGGTGACATCCACAGGTGTTTTCAATACCTGATGGAAAGCACCTGTATGAACCTCTGTTCTTCAGAGTGGTAGTCTTTAAGGGGTTGAATAATTGTGGCAATGAAGAAACCACATAAGAACCATTTACTACTGTATTACATAAACAATTGATGTCATTTTAGTTGCATTTGGGTAGTTACAACGTCCTTGTAGGATTTGATTCTGAATACAATTCCAAATGTACACTATAGTCCCTAAACCCCTTTACAGCATTGGGGGTTGAATAATTTTGGACACAACTGTATATACATACATACATACATACATACACACTATACAGTATTGACAAAAGTATTGGGACACCCCATCAAATTCTTGGATTCAGGTGTTCCAGTCACCTCCATGGCCACAGGTGTATAAAATCAAGCACCTAGGCATGCAGACTGCTTCTACAAACATTTGTAAAAGAATGGGTCGCTCTCAGGAGCTCAGTAAATTCAAGTGTGGTCCCGTGATACATTGCCACTTGTGCAATAAGTCCATCCGTGACATTTCCTAGCTACTAAATATTCCACGCTCAACTGTTAGGGGTATTATAACAAAGTGGAAGCAACTGGGAACAACAGCAACTCAGACATGAAGTGGTAGGCCACATAAAATGACAGAGCGGGGTCAGCGCATGCTGAAGCGCACAATGCACAGAAGTCGCCAACTGTCTGCAGAGTCAATAGCTAAAGACCTTCAAACTTCATGTGGCCTTCAGATTAGCACAACAACAGTGCGTAGAGAGCTTCATGGAATGGGTTTGCATGGCCCAGCAGCCGTTTCCAAGCCTTACATCACAAAGTGCAATGAAAGGCATCAGATGCAGTGGTATAAAGGACTCTAAAGCAGTGGAGACGTGTTCTCTGGAGTGACAAATAACGCTTCCGCAATCCGATGGACATGTCTGGGTTTGGTGGTTGCCAGGAGAACGGTACTTGCTTGACTGGATTGTGCCAAGTGTAAAGTTTAGTGGATGGAGGATTATGGTGTGGGGTTATTTTTCAGGGGTTGGGCTTGGCCCCTTAGTTTCAGTGAAGGGAACTCTTAAGGCCTCAGCGTACCAAGACATTTTAGACAAGTTCATCCTGCCAACATTGTAGGAATAGTTTGGGGATGACCCCTTCCTGTTCCAACATGACTGCGCACCAGTGCATAAAGTAGGGTCCATAAAGACATGGATGAGCAAATTTGGGGTAAAGGAACTTGACTGTCCTGCACAGAGTACTGACCCCAACCCAATAGAACACCTTTGGGATGAATTAGAGCGGAGACTGAAAGCCAGACGCGTTTTGTAAATAACTCACTTCCTCAGGATCCACACCTAGATATACATACGGCCAATGTTTCATTCTACAAAAACAGTTTATAACATAAGTATTAAAAAAATACAAACCAAAATAATAATGCACATACAGTATATTAAAATACAGTTGCAAGAAAAAGTATGTGAACCCCTTGGGATTACGTGGAGTTTTGCATGAATTGGGCATAAAATGTGCTCTGAACGTCATCTAAATCACAACAAGAGAAGAACACAGTCTGCTGAACATAATACTACACAAACATTAGATATTGCCATGGTTTAATTGCACATAACATGTAAACATTCACAGTGCAGGGAGGTAAAAGTATGTGAGGCCCTAGCTTAATGACTTCCCCCAGAGCTAATTGGAGCCAGGAGTGAGCCAACCTTGACTCCAATCAGTGTGATGATATTGGATGTGTTGCTGACAGCTGTCCTGCCCTTAAAAAACACACACCTGTTTTGGGTTTACTGGTTTCAAGAAGCACTGTCTGATGTGAACCATGCCTCGCAGAAAAGAGCTCTCAGAAGACCTACCATCAAGAATTGTTGACTTGCATGAAGCTGGAAAGGGTTACAAAAGTATCTCCAAAAGCCTTGATGTTCATGTGTCCATGGTAAGACAGACTGTCTACAAATGGAGAAAGTTTAGCACTGTTGCTACTCTCCCTAGGCGTGGTCGTCCTGTAAAAATGACTGCAAGAGCACAGCGCAGAATACTGCATGAGGTAAAGAAGAATCCCAGAGTGTCAGCTAAAGACCTACAGAAATCTCTGGCACATGCTAACATTTTTGTTGACACATCTACAATAAGGAAAACATTAAACAAGAATGGAGTACATGGTAGGACACCACGGAGGAAGCCATTGCTGTCCAAAAAGAATATTGCAGCACGTTTGAAGTTTGCAAAAGAGTACCTGGATGTTCCACAGCACTACTGGCAAAATATACTGTGGACAGATGAAACCAAGATTGAGTTGTTTGGGAAGAACACACAACACTATGTGTGGAGAAAAAAAAAGGCACAGCACACCAACATCAAAACCTCATCCCCACTGTAAAACATGGCGGAGGGAGCATCATGGTTTGGGGCTGCTTTGCTGCCTCAGGGCCTGGACGGATTGTGGTCATTGATGGGAAAATGAATTCCAGAGTTTATCAAGACATTTTGCAGGAAAACGTACGACCATCTGTCCGTTAACTGAAGCTTCGCAGAGGATGGGTGATGCAACAGGACAATGACCCAAAGCATACAAGTAATTCAGCAAAACAATGGCTGCAAAGCAGCACAGAAAACGCCTTCTGGAGTGGCCCAGTCAAAGTCCTGACCTCAACCCGATTGAAATTCTGTGGCATGACCTTAAGAGAGCGATTCACACCAGACATCCCAAGAATATTGCTACACTGAAACAGTTTTGTGAAGAGGAGTGGTCCAAAATGACTCCAGATTGTTGTGCAGGTCTGATCTGCAACTACAGGAAACGTTTGGTTGAGGTTATTGCTGCCAAAGGAGGGTCAACCAGTTATTAAGTCCAAAGGTTCACATACTTTTTCCTCCCTGCACTGTGAATGTTTACATATTATGTGCAATTAAACCATGGCAACATCTAATGTTTGTGTAGTATTATGTTCAGCAGACTGTGTTCTTCTATTGTTGTGACTTAGATGACGTTCAGAGCACATTTTATGCCCAATTCATGCAAAACTCCACGTAATCCCAATGGGTTCACATACTTTTTCTTGCAACTGTATAAACACGTGAGCCAGCAAAGTTCCCTAGAGATCTGTGACTTTGCCACAGTGCACCCGGTCCTGTGCCACCATCTTCTTTTGAGGTGTGGAGTAGTAGGACAGGTGAGAGTAGCAGGATAGGTGGGGTGCAGCGAGACAGGTGGGGAGTAGCAGGACAGGTGGAGTGCAGAGAGACAGGTGGGGAGTAGCAGGACAGGTGGAGTGCAGCAAGACAGGTGGGGTGCAGAGAGTAGCAGGACAGGTGGGGTGCAGCAAGGCAGGTGGGGTGCAGAGAGACAGGTGGGGTGCAGAGAGACAGGTGGGGGGCAGCAAGACAGCTCTCATCTGTCCAGCAGTGGTTCCTCCATATGTCTGCCTGGTTGTTGTGGTTGGTTGGGGGGGGTAGGGGGTGTCGGTGCCATGCTGGAGGTGGGACTGTCTGCCATCGCACAGGTGGTGGGACTTGGTGGCCCTGGTGACTCCGGTCCTCTTGTAGGGAGCACCGCCGCAGTTGAAGGCGGCAGTGATGGGCTCCATGGTGGGGACGGGGCGGTTGGTGCGGGTGGCCATATCTTCTGCTCCATGGGCTCCAGTGGGGGGCCTGTGGTGTTCTCCAGGGGACTGGCTTTCATGAAGCTGTACAGTTCTGTTTTGCGCCTGTACGGGGAGGGATAGGGGAAACTCCAGGGGTCCCGGAATGCTGTGTTCCGCTCTGTGTAGCAGGGGATAGGTGCTGCCCGTGGACGTGGGGTAGGGGACAACAGAGCAGTGTTGGATGAAAATGGTCCAGGCGCCAGGACACTGTTTCCGATCACCATGGCGACCTGGCGCTTGGGAATTGTTGAGCCCTGTATGCGCTTTCATCAGCTGCAAAAGCCATGAATAGACAGCTGACACCGCCTGATGCAGCGCATGCACCATAGAGTATCCCAGATAAAAAACAGAGGTGCAGCACTCAATTCAGGGTCTCAAGGAACCATATAAGGAATCTGAATAATTGTGCTCTGGCTTCAAGTGTCTTCCAAATACCCAAACAGAATGTAAGTAGCGGAGAGGAGCTGACTAAATGATGCAGTTGTGTTGAAATCTTTATTTAGCTACAGCATAATGACAGTAAAAATGGCCTTCGCCTTAGCCATAGAATCATAGACATAGACTACTCCACAGCCTACTGGGACCCGTGACGTGGGTGTCCTAGAAGGCTGCGGGCACTGTACATGTAATTTTCTCCAAGGTGAGAAATACAGAATCCCAAAGACGATTCTTCAAGAAAGGAATCCGCACCAACAAAAAAAATATTCAATTCTGTAAGAGGAGGGAGGCAGAAGGTGAATGATGTAAAGTTGACTTTAAATATTACATTTGGGGCTTAAAATAATTGTTTCATTCTTGTGTAATGGTGGCCCTATGTGCTGCGATAAAACTGAACAACTGATGTCCAATTTGACAATTTAACTAGACATCGGTTCAATAAGACAAACATGGCATGGCCCGAGTGATGTTGCCAATCGGTTGTGGTGGGAAAAAAAAACGATTGTACAGGATTGATCAATGGTGGTTACGTGAGGACCGATCGTAAGTGCTTCACATGGACAAGCAATTTTCATTGATTGACCTTATACAATCAATTTTTCTCATCTGCCAAAACCAAAATTGACTTGGGTTGTAATGGTCACTCTCCAGTTCTCACCACCATTTCTGTCTCACTCTCAGTCATTTCGCTGAATCAGCCTTCAATTGCCCAGCTTTGATCACCACTATACAAATCTCACATCTATGCAATATTTTGCTAGCCAAAAAAACCCAAAAAACTAGTATATGGTCCAGATCTAAGCCCAAAGATGAAAAAAATAAAAAAAAATCCACGTGCTGAATTGCCACAATTAAAGAATTTAAAGGACTACAGGACAACCACACCTACCTCACAGATGATTGGCTCAGAGCATGCTGGAACGCAGGAGCATGGCTCTGATTTGCGGAAAACATTTTCCTGGCACGCATGACGTAGAGGGGGGGCGTTTCGTGCATTTTACCGAACTTCCGGTCCCAGAGCAGCATGGCGGAGCTGAAGATTAACCAGAAGTTCGCTGATCGCTATGAACGGTACCGGGAGAAGGAGGAGCTGCAGCGGCGTGAGTGTTCTCCGGAGGGTTTCCCCGTGCATCGTCCTCCTCTGTATACCCAGACAGGGCTCAAGGCCTAGTGTGTGTGACATGGGAGGCAGCAGCATGGCATGTCACTGGCGGGCATGCTGGGACTTGTGGTTCCCGCATGGGGTCAGCTGAATGCGCCCATTGGTCAGACAGTCTGTCTTTGTTTTTTTCAGAAGATCTGCATAGATAACATCTGTATGTTTGTGTGTGTATATAGTACATAAGCCCTGGCAAAAATACAGCATTTTATATATATATATATATATATATATATATATATGTGTGTGTCTGTATATATATTATATATAACACTTTGGCAAAAATTTTGCATAAAAATCAAAAAATACAAAATCTTATGGCAAAAATACAGCAGGAATTAAAAATTATATAAAATACATGAACTTTGGTGAAAATACAGCATAAAAATATAATTAAAATTAAATATACACACGAGTTAGACAAAAACACTCCCAAGATCCCATGATTTGCAGGTGTGAAAGCGACCACAGGTTTCCCATTGAAAGTGATGTAACATTCTTTTGTTTTCGCTGTGTGATGAGACACCCAGCTAACAGGTGAGAAGCCTCAGTTTCCTCATTCGCTGCTAGTAATTCAGAGTCATGTCAGAGCTTACTGAGCTTCAAAGATGGCAAATTGTTGGTGCCGCTTAGCTGGTGCCTCTGTGACTGAAGTTGCCAATTTATTTGCCGCATTGCAAGGTACAGTATCAAAGGTTATGGCGGCATATACAGTTTCCAGGAAACAGTCATCTGATAAGTGTACGGACAACGTGGTCAGCTGACCGAAAGAGACAAGAGGACATTGCGCAGGACTTTGACCCGGAATAAGAAATAACTGCTGCAAAAGTGACTGCAGAGCTCAATCTCAGTCTTCCAAAGCCCATATCCACAAAAACTGTGTGGAGGGAACTCCATATACAGAACATTCACGGGCGAGCTACAATTGCCAAACCACTGGTGACCGATATTAATGCTCAGAAGAGGAGAGAGTGGTGCAACACCCAAAATAAATCGTGGAATATCGATTATGGAAGATGGTAATATGGTTTGATGAATCGAGCTTCACACTGTTCTCAACCACCGTATGTATTTATGTGACAAACACCGTCCTAAGCTTACGGCCAGGACTGTCTTGTGACAATGGTAAAGCATGGCGGCACTGCAATCATGGTTTGGGCAACCATATCTTGGTGTTCTGACGGCCCCATCATCACCTTGAAGGGTACAATCACTGCCAGCGACTTCATACAAATTTAGCTGACCACATGCATCCCATGGTGCACACATCGTTTCTCAAGACAAAACCATTTACCAAGACAATATTGCTCCGCTGGTTTGACAAGCAAGCATGTAACGTTTCACACCATCCCTCGACCTCAGTATCATAGTGCCACCATGGTAAATTTTGGAGAAGGAAAAAAAAAAAAATAATATATATATATATATATATATATTTTTTTTTTTTTAACCACTTTGCCTCACACCAGTTCACCCCTATGGACCAGAGCAATTTTTACATTTCTGCTATGGACCTGTTTGGAAAAGGACATAAAAAGATATCCAAAGCCTTGAATATGCCAATCATCACTTCCACTAAGTAGTAGAAAATTCAAGGACCTCTTGATACCAAGAGATCCCCAAACTTTCCACTTCTTAATAGGTGATATAATAGTACTGATTGGCATATTCAAGGCTTTGGACATGTTTTTATGTCCTTTCCACCTTTATAACTTTCAATTACCTTGTTACACAGGACTTTTCTGATCCCCATGGCTCAGTATCTAGCCTAGTCAGTGCTTCCACGTAAGAGCTAACAAACTCATTGACTATTTATACACTGACACTAATTGCAATTTAAAAAGCCACAGATGTGGGACATTAACCTCTAATTGGCATTTTAACCCGTGTGTGTAACCTTGTGTGTCTGTACCAAGGCCAAACATTGCAGGGGAGGGAAACTTTTGATCATGGCCATTTGGGTGATTTCTGTTATTATGATTTTAAAAAGCCAAAAAACTATTTGATAATAAATGGCTTCATATGATCATTATCCTTCAATAAAAGAGCATTTTGTGGCATGATCAGTCATATTTTCAATAGCAATGCCAAAATTTCACAATTTCTGCCAGGGTGTGCAAACTTTTGAGCACATAAAGCAAATATATATTTACTATTCATGGGGCTGTCATGTAGGCAGATCTTCTATTTCTATTATAGGTCCACATTAGAGCCCTGCTCCAGTGGAAGAAGTGTATTGTTTTGGACACAGAGTGGAAGGGTTGATCCAATGTCAGGTTTTTATTTCTGTGTAAAAAAAAAAAAAAATACCTTTCAGCATTCCAGGTGTCAGTACAAGGGTTTAACTGTCCCATAAAAATCACAAACTGGCATAATGTTTTGAGAGACAGAACAAATGAACTTTTCTGTATGAAAACTTTATTGACTGTTAGAAATTTGTTTTGTTTTTGAGAAAAAAAAATCCTTTCTGCGCCTGTATATTTGACCCCACTAACTTTTGGAAAATCAAACTTAAGATTCTTAAAAAGAAATATTTTAAAGGAAGTTCTATTAGTGGATGACCACCAGGAATGAGCTCAGATGTGTTTGGATCCTAGTCCAAATTCCCCTGACGTATCCTGTCAGAAAGCAGTCACTGCACACCACCACACACCCCACAACTGCATTTATAGCTGCCCTTTGCATACGTGTGGCTATAGCAGGGGCCTCGAAACTGTGGCCCTTTGCTTGGCTTTATCTGGCCTTTGGGACACTATTCCTCCCACTGACATCAACGATGGGGCACTATTCCTCCCATTGACATCAAGGATGGGGCACTATTCCTCCCATTGACACCAATGATGTGGCACTATTCCTCCCACTGACACCAATGATGGGGCACTATTCCTCCCATTGACACCAATGATGTGGCACTATTCCTCCCACTGACACCAATGATGGGGCACTATTCCTCCCACTGACATCAACGATGGGGCACTATTCCTCCCACTGACATCAACGATGGGGCACTATTCCTCCCACTGACATCAACGATGGGGCACTATTCCTCCCACTGACATCAACGATGGGGCACTATTCCTCCCACTGACATCAACGATGGGGCACTATTCCTCCCACTGACATCAACGATGGGGCACTATTCCTCCCACTGACATCAACGATGGGGCACTATTCCTCCCACTGACATCAACGATGGGGCACTATTCCTCCCCACTGACATCAATGATGGGGCACTATTCCTCCCCACTGACATCAACGATGGGGCACTATTCCTCCCACTGACATCAACGATGGGGCACTATTCCTCCCACTGACATCAACGATGGGGCACTATTCCTCCCACTGACATCAATGATGGGGCACTATTCCTCCCCACTGACATCAATGATGGGGCACTATTCCTCCCCACTGACATCAACGATGGGGCACTATTCCTCCCCACTGACATCAACGATGGGGCAATATTCCTCCCCACTGACATCAACGATGGGGCACTATTCCTCCCCACTGACATCAACGATGGGGCACTATTCCTCCCCACTGACATCAACGATGGGGCACTATTCCTCCCCACTGACATCAACGATGGGGCACTATTCCTCCCCACTGACACCAACGATGGGGCACTATTCCTCCCACTGACACCAACGATGGGGCACTATTCCTCCCACTGACACCAACGATGGGGCACTATTCCTCCCACTGACACCAACGATGGGGCACTATTCCTCCCACTGACATCAACGATGGGGCACTATTCCTCCCACTGACATCAACGATGGGGCACTATTCCTCCCCACTGACATCAACGATGGGGCACTATTCCTCCCCACTGACATCAACGATGGGGCACTATTCCTCCCCACTGACATCAACGATGGGGCACTATTCCTCCCCACTGACATCAACGATGGGGCACTATTCCTCCCCACTGACATCAACGATGGGGCACTATTCCTCCCCACTGACATCAACGATGGGGCACTATTCCTCCCCACTGACATCAACGATGGGGCACTATTCCTCCCCACTGACATCAACGATGGGGCACTATTCCTCCCCACTGACATCAACGATGGGGCACTATTCCTCCCCACTGACATCAACGATGGGGCACTATTCCTCCCCACTGACATCAACGATGGGGCACTATTCCTCCCCACTGACATCAACGATGGGGCACTATTCCTCCCCACTGACATCAACGATGGGGCACTATTCCTCCCCACTGACATCAACGATGGGGCACTATTCCTCCCCACTGACATCAACGATGGGGCACTATTCCTCCCCACTGACATCAACGATGGGGCACTAATTCTCCCATTGACACCAGCTATAGCAACTATGGGGCACTATTCCTCCCACTGATGCCAATGATGTAATGTTTGTTTAATCCCACTGACCACCAAGACTATGATGCGGGGGTATTTTCTGTTCCCACTGGCCACAGCCCGGCCTCCCTAAAATATGAAGGGCAGTAAACGTTTGAAAGTTTGGAGATCCCTGGGTTTCAGGATGGGAAATGTCTGGGTCCGCTACTGCTTGGCAGTGCTCAGTGATGGCTTTCTGGCGGGATAGCTCAGGTGGGTTGGAACTAGGATCCAAACACGTTTTAGCTCACCCCAAAGGGCCAGCTTTAGGGAGAAGCCAGAGGATGATTCGAATAGAAGAGATTAAAAACATACCCTGAAATTCATAAAGACTGACTCAGGCAGATTAGTGTCTCTTATGCATTCCAAGGCTACATGTACACTATCCTACCCTTACCTCGGCCTTGGGAAAATGTAAAATTTCCCATGGCTGGTGGTCAGAACATTCCTATCCTGAACGTGATTCTTCCGTGTTCAGAAGAGGGAGGTTTAACCTCACCTATATGCAGCAGCTCCTTAACTCTGCTACAAGCCTATGTGTACATGGACACATAGGCCCTTATGGAGTTGAATTTAGGAGCTTTGGCAAAAAACCAGCAAAATGTCCTAAACTCAAGTTTAGGAGCTGCCAGTGTACACGAAGCCTAAAAGTGGAGAAGAATGCGCCAAATTCATGTACCTCTACAGAACTTGTACTTGAATTTGGGTCACGTTGTGCTACTTATAAAATGCATATGACGCTTTCACAAAGTCTTTCTGAGCCAGTTTTTCTCTCTGTACGTCAAAAGAGAGTTGGTCTTAATTAGCTCCACTTTTACATTTAGTGCATTCAATGAAATGAAAAATTGGCTAATTTTAGAACTATCTGAATTTGGTGCATGAGTCACTATCATAACCAAAAGTCTCGCCAATGCTTCATGAATTTGGCACAATATATTACCAAGAGGAATTAACGCCAGAAAAGTGATTCACCAGCTTTAATGAATTCCCCCAGAGTTCTATCTCCCTGTAAAGGAGAGCATCCTCTATAATCCCATTGGATGTGCCTGCTACTAGATTTTCAGTGTCTTTCTTCTCTTGTAGTAAAGGATCGATACGGGGACAAAGGTGAAGAGGACAGTGAGTCTTCCAGCTCGGAGTCTGAGAGCGAGGATGAGCCGGTGGGTATTTAAAGGATAATTAAAGGCAAAATGTTTTCTTTTATTTTTAAATAGAGTGGAGAGGGATTAGAACATCTGTCAGGTTTTTATAGCTGTCTGTGTCACCTTTAGGGATATTCACCACCTTTTGTCCTGGTGATCATGATCAGAAATCCCAAATTTTGGGTTGTCACCAGACCTGGAATAAAAGGAAATCTTTCAATGGAGACACTAGTTCTGGGGACAACGAGGGATATCCTCTCACTTCTTTTTGTGGTTATGGGACAGAAAGTGAAGGGAGATCTCCCCAAATGGACAGATGGGAAAAATGAGACGGGGATTATGACCTTCCCTTACATTCTTTCCTCTATTTTAATGTAGAACTTGCTCGTGTTAATTGTTTCTAAATAGTGTGTGTGTGTGTGCGCCATGTTTTCCCTGTTAGGAAGCTGATGATCTTTTTTCCTGTCTCTTTAGACCATTGATCCAGAACTGGACAGGGACTTTTATCGTACCCTGTCTCTGCTCAAAAAGAAAGATCCAAGGATCTACCAAGAGGATGTTACTTTTTACAAAGAAACGGGTAACTCCAATACTCTATAACTGTGTTGTGCTGTGGGTTTGCTTTTCCATTGTGTTATAGTCATAATTATGTAATACTGAAACATTTCCTACATTTGGAAGCAGAATTGTGCTGCGTTGTATCTGCCATCAAATTGTTTCTTTTTCAGAAAAGCCCATTGTAAAAGAAGTCAATGGGAAATCATGGGTAACCCACAACAAAACCGAGGGTACACTGTGCTGCAGTTAGACCACAGCCAACCAGTGTGAAACCACCCTTAAAGTGGAACTATTGGCTAGGAATTGAAAATTGAGGGACAGGCAGGATATTTATTGCAGAAGAAACGTGCTTTGTGTCTTCTGCATTAAAGCTTCTTACCTGCCTTTCTGTCCCTTTTTATCTTTTCTGCTTACAAAATCACTTCTTTGCCTTTCAGATCAGCCAGCTACCAGTCAGAGCAAATCCACCAAGGAAAAACCCATGTATCTTAAAGACTACGAGCGAAAAGTCATCCTGGAGAAGGAAGGGTGAGGTGGCCGCACACCATGACCCTAGTGGCTGCCATGGCAAAACATTGGTTTTAACTCTGAATGTTTTGATGCTAAAAGTACCTCATATTAATATTTCTTTATGCTTGTAGAAAATACGAGGATGAAGAAAGCTCAGATGGAGAGGAAGGCCTATTGCAAGATCAGGTAGGATTTCGTGTGTTGGCATTTGGAGCTATAGCAAATGAGTTTCTTCAGTTGTTCATCTGCTGCCCCTCGTGTGTGATGGTGAGGCCTGTTCCTGTAAGGCACGTTGTGGGTTCTGAGCTATGGAAAAAGTCCTCCTTGCTGCATCTTTGATATTGTATCCAGCATAGTATTAACGCATGTAGAACACATACATGTACATTTCGCCTACACATACAGATGTGGACAGGACTTAATCTCTCAGAATTTAGGAACCTCCAAACCCTACTCCCCTTTCTGCAATTTTTGAAATGATACCTACAACAAGTGACCCTTCAAATCTTAAGAGACCTGTAGCCCTGTCTCTCCTGCCTCTAGTTAGAATGCATACTTGAGTGACGTGTGTTCTCGTACTTCATTGTCTTGATAGCGCTTCATTTGTGTCAATTATGAGGGATAACATTTCCTTTGAGCTGCTTCCTGTCGTGACAGCCATTTTTTGGGTTGGATCTTTAGGGCCCAAGCCTTAGGAATTATATGTGCTGTTCACATCAAGATGTTCTTTCAATCACTGACTTGCAGTAGGACAGATGAAATCCGGTTGATTATTTTGTTAATTCAAGACCCAGTATGATCAGTGGTGATGTAGACTTTAGGCGGGACGATCTGACACATGAATAACTAGCTTTGTCTGTGAGCAGTATCAATGAATGTTCTTTCTTTTTTTTTTTTTTCTTTTTTTACATTTTGTTTAAATTATTTTTTTGCAGAGGTCTCGATCCCCAACGTACCTAGAGGAACAGAGGCATATCAAAGAAAGGTGGGTGACTGCTGAGGATTTTTCTGCATATCTCAACTTACCCATTTACAGATTTACGTGATGTTTTCTTTACTGTTGTGACTATCAGGAAGGGAGTTAGGACTTTGCAGATTCTAGAGATCTGTGCTGCTAGAAAATCTCTGAGCAGCTTTTTCGTAGTAGGCATACCTAAGTAACATGGAGTCTGTCCCTTTCGGACAGGAGGAGCTATCACAAGCCTACTGAGCAACTTATCGGATTGGATGTCACTCCACTTCCTCAAACTAAATCTTTCCAAAACCGAGCTGCTAGTTCCCCCCCAGCCCGTGCCCCCCCCGACTTCTCCATCACGTCCAACAACGCCACCATCAGTCCCACCGCGCAAGCCAGAGTACTAGGTGTTATCCTAGACTCCAATCTGTCCTTCCAGCCCCAGGTTCAGTCGCTGACAAACTCATGTAGACTTCACCTCCGCAACATCCAAAATACGTCCGTTCCTAACCCCGGAAACTACTAAGCAACTCATTCACTCCCTTATTATATCACCACTTGACTACTGTAACTCCCTCCTCACTGGCCTACCTCACCGCAGGCTATCCCCGCTTTAGTCTATCCTGAATACTGCGGCCAGACTCATCCACCTTACTCACCGCTCCGTATCCGCCACCCCCCACTGCCAATCCCTCCACTGGCTTCCGATTGCCCAGCAGATAAAATTCAAAATGCTAACATTGACGTACAAAGCTGTTCAAAACACTGCCCCAAACTACATCACTGATCTGATATCCAAATACCATCCTAAATGTACTCTCCACTCCTCACAAGACCTCCTACTCTCTAGTTCCCTGGTCTCCTCCTCCCATGCCCATCTCCAGGACTTCTCCACGGCTTCCCCCATCCTCTGGAACTCCCTACCCCAATCCATCAGACTATCACCTACTCTCTTCACCTTTAGGTGCACCCTGAAAACCCATCTCTTCAGGGAAGCCTACCCCGCCCTCAGTTAATTGCCGATCTCCGCCACTCTTCCCACCACTCCATCCCCCACAGCTGTTTCCTCCTGTACCACTATCCCCTCCCTCCTAGATTGTAAGCTCCAAGGAGCAGGGCCCTCGATCCACTCGTGTATTGTTACTGTACTGTCTCGTGTACTGTCTCCCATTATAATGTACAGTGCTGAGCAAACTGTTGGTGCTATATAAATACTGTATAATAATAATAATGTGACATAGAGCCTGTCCCTACTACCACAGGGTGACACTGGCAGGAGGAGCTATGTGACATGGAGTCTGTTCCTCCTACCACAGAGTGACACAAACACGCCTCCTAGTCTTTTAATCATTCATAACATTCATAAAATTCTTCAACTTTTTCCAGTTTTCGAAAGTTTGTTGAGGACAGCGACAATGAAGAGGATGATGGCATCACAGCTAATCTGTTAACCAAAAGAGTGAAAACCAAAACGGAACAGGTGAGCAATAATGCCAGCCCTATATTTTTACGTGCTTTTGATAAATTAGGGGAGTTAAAGTCCTATATTTCACATATGCTAAGAATCTGTATTTCTGATTGTCTTCATCTCACTTGGTAGGATTTTCTTCAAGATCCACCCTATGAGTGCCTATTTTTTTACAAATACTCTATTTCTTTAGTCTGGCAACTGTAAACAGTGCTGACAAGACCGACCGAAAATTCTGTGAGATGAATTTACTAAGAATGGAGCAGGCAGAATCTGGAACAGCTGTGCATGGCAGTAGTCAGCTTCCAGCATTCATTTCCAAAGCTTAAAGTGGAACTTTAGTCAGGAAATTAAGTGCTGCTAGGTCACTTCAGGCTGGACCCTCTTGCAGGTATAGCTCTGTAAAACATTAAAATTAAGTGACTACTTGTTAAAATCCAGTAATACACTTTCTCAACCTATTCTGCACATGTTTACTTGAACTCTTTTTTTGGCATTGTGTTAGAAATGTATAGGCAGATCTGCTGACAGCCTAAAGATTTACTGCTACTCAGCAGCGATGGGCTTCAGCAAAATGGCAGCCTTCAGCAAAAAAGAAACCAGAACAATGCTGGAGGCAATTTACAGCACACACTAATTTTAGGAGCATACTTCTTAATGTGGAATGTATGTTCCTTGCTAAAGAACAATACTTTTGATCAAGTTGTTATGGGTAAAGTTTTTTTGTTTTAACTTGACAAACTAAAGCTAGAATCTGATTGGTTACTTTGCTAAGCTGTTCCAGATTCCGTCGCTTATATAAAAGAAGTAGAGAGGCCGCTCTCACCACCTGTGCAGTTTCGAGTATAGAGGATGGCCTCAGCCATCACACCTGCCACGCCCTCTGCGTTTTCCCCGCCCACCAGGGACTTTATCACAGAGGAATGACTCCTCTGTGACCAAGCCCTGGTGGGCGGGGTGAAATGCAACAGAGGCCTTGGCTGGCGTGACATCCTCTATAAATGGGACTGCACAGGGGGTGAGAGTGGCGTCTCTTCTTCTCTTATGTAAGTGACTAGACTGACACTTGGGCACCGCTCCCCTGCAATTGCCAGTGAGGTGATTTCTCTGAAACGCCACGGCCTCTCATGCTTCAGTGCTCCAAATGCTGTCAGCTCCAGTATCTGTTATAAATTAGACCTCCAGCTTCATTGTCCTTCCCTTTTTTTTTTTTTTTTCTCTTCTTTTTTTTCTTTATACCACCTGCTCCAGCTTTCGGTATTGATAAGTTAACTCCACAACAGTGGGATTCAAACAAGTTCTGAGATGGTGATGGTTGCGGTCTGCAAGGTTCAGCCTTGTTGCTGGCTGTTTTGAAGTAACAGTGGTTCTTGATACTGATGTATTAAAAGTAATGTGTATTTACAGAAGAGGATTTCCACCACAGGAACCAATCAAAATCCTGATTTCATATTCAGCTCATTACTGTAGAAATTACACTTGGAAGCTGATTGCTATAGGCAACAAGACCTGTTATTCACACCAAATCCATGTTAAGTGTTTGGTGCAGAATGAAGAGAAACAAGATTTTTCTATATTTGTCACTTTTTCTTCTGGAACTACCACAATGTGATGAATGACTATGGTGTAGCTCTGGAATACAGCGCTCCTATATGCAAGTAAAAGTTTGTTTCTGTTTATATAACATATTCCATGACCTTCCTGCAGGAGGAGGAGGAAGAGGTATACATTGCATGGCTGAAAGGACAGAAAGATGTAGAAGACAAAGAAGATCTGAAAGAAATGGTAGGTACAGCTGCACACTTATAAAGGAGCTGTATGTTCTTACAGTTGCCATGCCACTGCTTTAAAAACTAAAAAGATACCAACATGTTTAGAACGCAGTCATGTAGTTTACAAATCTGCCCCCTGCTTCATTTAGTTTCTCCAAGGCAAGTGAAGCCCAATTCATTTTGATAAATGGGAGAAAAGTAGTGCTTGGAGGAGTTCCCAATCACAGACCTCTCAAAATCATGTGACCAAGCTCTTCCCTATCACAGAATGCTCTCGGCAGCGCTCTTGCCCCTTTGACAAATGGTTATCATCGTACAGTTGAGAGAACTTTTGTGATCTTTATCGCTTTGTGATTGACAAGCTCTGTTTTTATGACCTGCAGTTGAAACTGCAAAGTAAATAGGAATTGTGACTGACACCATGGACGCTCTTGCTAAAGGATGTCTTGCACCAGTTTTCATAGATAATACCCAGCTGTTTGTAAAGACAGAGCCAACACATCAGAGAATGTATGGTACTGGCTGCAGCAGTGACCACGTTGTGCTTTGTTCATACAGAGTTATCTGAAGGAATACTGGACTGACCCTTCCCTGGATGACGGAGAGAGGTTTCTGAGAGACTATATTCTAAACAAAGAGTATGTGGAATCTGAATCTGATGAAGACGAGGAATGGTAAGATATACAGTTTGGATTGCATCAAACTGCTGAACTATCTCTAAAGTAAAAACCCTTTTTTTTGCTTTTATTTGGGGGTGCTAAGAGGGGATCTCTTGTTGTATCTACAAGAAGGGAAGTGAGGTCTTTCGAATGAAACACAAAAAGCAAAAAAACTCGTATGGATTTTACCTTCTTCTTCAAACAATTTTATTAACAATAAATCAGAATGGAACAAAGAGACATTGCTAATGTACACTGGACATTGAAGTGGCAATAAGACATAAAAAAGAAAAAATGAATGAGGGTCACAGTACAAATGTCTATGCATTACTAGCGGAAACAGGTAGGTAAAAGTTGACAACAAAAGACATTATTGTTCCAGCCAATCAAAGCAATGTCTTTCAAATGCATTAAAGAAATAGGGGGAAGTTTGAAGGGGGGTTAGATGGGCGGAAGGGGGGGGAAGGGGGGAAGAGGAACAGCAACAATGACTCCATGAGCGTTCAACAAGTTTACAACAGCTCCTACGTGCTGCGTACAAAGGGCTATTGACAATATCCTTAGCGCATAGTACATAAATCAGGGGAAAAGGAGTGATTCGTCAAAGTTAGGCGGGAGGAAACGCTCTACCCAGGGGCCTTTACCATCTTCTAAATTCAAATAATAAAAAGACTTAAGTGCACTTATGTTTTAAAGTATAATTAATCGTGCTTGGCTGCCCACACAGAGCTATGTATTCGTTGACAGTTTCCTTTGAATGAATGTCTACAAGTACCATCAGCCACTGTGCCTGACGGCTTGTAGTTCTCAATGAACTATGAAGGCGCTGGTGAGCATTCTTTTAGTCCATTGATCTTCCAGCTGTCAAGTAACTGCTTAATTGTACAAGGTACGGAAAGACAGCTGTTCTGAGAGTCTGCAGGAGCTTGAGATTGCACCCACGATCTGCTGATGGCAGGTGCAATGCTCAGCTGCCGTTTTTTAGAAAAAATCTATTTTTCTGCAAAAAAAAAAGTGCATTTATTTAATTTTTTTTGCAAAATGTGAATTTATTCTTTCGGCTGACCAAACCTAACCCCTCCTCAGATGCATTCTTACAGAAATTTGATGCCCCCCTCCCCCCATGATTGTTACTTTCAGAGCTGCAAGTTTCCCTTTCCTGGCCTCACCTGCACAGTACAACCCCATAGATTACCATGGGGCTTCCTTGTGGTCACATGGTAGACAAAGTTTATGGGGACTGCGCAGGCATGGCCAAGAGAGACTTTCACTGCTGAATGTAAACGAACAGCGGAGGCCACATCCATCGGATCTTGGTAAGTATTTGTATAGGGAGGGGGCAGGTGAGATCAAAGAGGCAAACAGGATAAGTGCACTTTGAAAGTGCCCTTATTCTTTAAATGTTCTTTTCCTAGATTTACACAAATGATCCTCATTTCCTAATAAATGCTTGGCTGTTACTATGTATCTTTTTGCCTCTGATCTCTCACACCTTAAAATGCCCCAAGTTTTATATCCCAAAGGGTAATGTCCCCCTTCTTATTTTGCATAATGAGCTGTTGCATTTCCTATGAGCACAAGGATTTATCATATGGACTGAAGAAAAGCCCCCTCAGCACCATGGAGCTTGTGCTCAAAGCACAATGAAACCCCTAAATGAGTTGTATATACACTGCTCTCAAAAAATTTAAAGGAACACTTTTTGATCAGAGTATAGAATCAAGTCAGTTAAACTCCTGGGATATTGATCTGGTCAGGTAAGTAGCAGAGGGGGTTGTTAATCAGTTTCAGTTGGTTTGGTGTTAATAAAATTAACAACAGGTGCACTAGATGGGCAACAATGAGACAACCCACAAAACAGGAATGGCTTTACAGGTGGAGGCCGCTGACATTTTTTCCCTACTCCATATTTCCTGACTGTTTTTCACTAGTTTTGCATTTGGCTAGGGTCAGTGTCACTACTGATGGCATGAGGCGATACCTGGACCCTACAGAGGTTGCACGGGCAGTCCAACTCCTCCAGGGTGGCACATCAATACGTGCCATTGCCAGAAGGTTTGCTGTGTCTCCCAGCACAGTCTCCAGAGCATGGAGGAGATTCCAGGAAACAGGCAGTTACTCTAGGAGAGCTGGACAGGGCCATAGAAGGTCCTCTAACCCATCCGCAGGACCGTTATCTGCTCTTTTGTGCAAGGAGGAACAGGATGAGCACTGCCAGAGCCCTACAAAATGATCTCCAGCAGGCCACTGGTGTGAATGTCTGACCAAACAAACAGAAACAGACTTCATAAGGGTGGCCTGAGGTCCCGGCATCCTCTAGTGGGCCCTGTGCTCACTGCCTGGTACCATAGAGCTCAATTGTCATTTGCCATTGAGCACCAGAATTGGTAGGTCCACCACTGGTCCCCTGTGCTTTTCACAGATGAGAGCAGGTTCACCCTGAGCACATGTGACAGACATGAAAGGGTCTGGAGAAGTAATGGAGAACGTTCTGCTGCCTGTAACATTGCTCAGCATGACAGTTTTGGTGGTGGGTCAGTGATGATCTGGGGAGGCATATCCATGGAGGGACACATAGACCTCTACATGCTAGACAATGACACCCTGACTGCCTTAAGGAATCAGGATGAAATCCTTGGACCTATTGTCAAACCCTACACTGGTGCAGTGGGTCCTGGGTTCCTTCTGGTGCACGAAAATGCCCGGCCTTCTGTGGGGAGAGTATGCAGGCAGTTCCTGGAGGATGAAGGAATTGATACCACTGAATGGCCCCCACACTCTGCTGACCTAAATCCAATAGAACACCTCTGGGATGTCATTTTTCGGTCCATCCAACGCCACCAGGTTGCACCTCAGACTATCCAGGAGCTCAGTGATGCCCTGGTACAGATCTCAGAGAAAATACCCCAGACCACCATCTGCCATCTCATTAGGAGCATGTCATGACATTGTCAGGCATGCGTATAAGCACGTGGGGGCCATACAAACTACTGAGGACTATTTTGAGTTGCTGTAATGAAATTTCATCAAAATGGACTAGCCTCCTGCATCATTTTTTCACTTTGATTTTCAGGTTTTCCTTGAATTCAGTCCTCTGTAGGTTAATAATTTTCATTTCCATCAAATGATTGGGGCATCCTTACATTTCTAACACATTACCTCGTCCATTTCAGTATAGATATCCAACATGGTACTTTTCCCCATTGAGATCTTATGTGCTTTCATAGTGTCCCTTATAAGTTTTTTGAGCAGTATATTTTTGAGCTCTTCTGTTCCCGGAATGAGTCTGTACTGAAGCCAGGGACAGGCAGGGAATTTGCATTTTCAGAAGGTCAAGCAATGGCAGTCTCTGTATTTCTGTGCACAGGTTTTCTTCATATGTGATTTTAGTAGTGGCAACCTGACACTGCCCTAAAGCTTTACTGTAAAGTGCTGATTATACAGTTAGCTCGCTAATATTCCATATATTTTGCACAACAATTTCATTGATTACATTTGCAGACTGCACAAACCTCCATTTACATATTTCTGAAAGTCTATAAAATCTACTGTGCAGTGTTAGGTTCACCTGAGCACGCTCATCGTCATGTTTCATTGTAATAAAATTGCCATGTATTTTATCCTTCAGCCCCCCAGCACTGGAGGAAGCACCACACGTCTCTGATTCTGAGGATGAAGGGGAACTTTTCTTGAAGAAACAAGAAGATTTTGAAAGAAAATATAACTTTCGATTTGAAGAGCCAGATTCTGATTTGGTATGTATAACTGTGAATGAATGAACTTGGGTTGCGTGTGTGCAAAGTGCTGCTTAGGTGCTCTGCAAGTTGCTAGATAAAGAGCGAGTGTAGGAGCTTGTCCTTTGTTTTTAGTCGTGTCTGGATCAGAAGAGTCTAATGCTGGCCTTACACCTGTAGAATTTCATTCAAACATTTGAGTGAAAAATCATAAAATTCGCTCCTGCGGCCATTCGATGGTACCTTCATGCACTCAACTAATTTTGAACGACTTTTCGTTTTAGTACCATGTCAATGTCTACAAATGTTCTACTTCCAGATTAACTTTGACAAGCGGGTGTGCATATGATATTTAACAATTTTTCTAATCTGAATGCATGCTTGAGAATGCCACAAAAAAAAGCCTGGTTACAATATGCTTGACAACACCTTGACACTGGTTCGGGCATACTGTAATCTGGAGTGATGAGACCAAACTAGAGCTTTATGGTCACAACCATAAGGTCTGTTTGAAGAGGGGTCAACAGTGACAAGAATACCATCCCCACTGTGAAGCATAGTGGTGGCTCACTGGTGTGTGTGTGTGTGTGTGTGTGTGTGTGTGTGTGTGTGTGTGTGTGTGTGTGTGTGTGTGTGTGTGTGTGTGTGTGTGTGTGTGTGTGTGTGTGTGTGTGTGTGTGTGTGTGTGTGTGTGTGTGTGTGTGTGTGTGTGTGTGTGTGTGTGTGTGTGTGTGTGTGTGTTCTAAAGGCATGGGGAATCTTGTGAAAATTGATGGCAAGATGAATGCAGCATGTTATCAGAAAAAAAAATACCGTCCGACAATTTGCATTCTTCTGCACGAATGCTGCGCATGCCACGCTCTTGGACTTGACAATGACCCTAAGCACATGGCTAAGTTGCTTAGGAATTACTTTGCAAAGAATAACTTTGCTATAAGCAAGCATTTACCTGAATGACATCGATTCATTCAGGTTTTTTTTTTTTTTGTGCTTAGCTGTGATTTGGCCACAGCTAATCACATGACGTGCATGTGATTAGCTGTGACCATTCACAGCTAGACACTAGTATACAATGGATGGCATGAATGAAGCCATCCATTGTATACAACTGTCATGTGACCTGCTGTGATTGGTCACATGGTAACGGCAACGGGGGCCGGTACTCAGATCTGTCATCGCCCGTGTCTGAGGTACACGGCCGGTGACAGATTGCGCCGCTGCGCGGCTCTGCAAGCACGCAAACTGCGCATGTGCGGGAGGACGCCATATGGCGGCCTCCCGGAAAGCTAGTGCATTTTTCCGGACGCCATTCGACCATAGGCCGGGCGTCAAATGGTTAAAAATGGTACATACTGTATGCTACCAATTCTCCAAGGGTATGCAAAATTTTGAGCACAACTGTATGTTTGTGTATGCAGTCTATAGTAAATTCTTCCTTTCTGTGTTTGCAGATTAAGACTTTTCCTAGAACCATCTCACAGTCGGTGAGAATGAAAGATGATCGGAGGAAGAGGAAACGAGAGGAGATAAAGGACAGGAAAAAGAAGGTGAGACCAGGAATTTTTTTTTCTGCAGGAGGGGAACAGATGAGTCGGGGGAGCAGTTGGAAGCACTTCAGCGGCCATTTTGTTCTGTTCTGTCTGCAGGAGAAAGAGAAGAAGGAGGAGGAGCTGAAGCAGCTGAAGAACCTGAAGAGGAAGGAATTACAGGACAAGCTGAAGAAGCTTCGGGAGCTGACGGGAGATCAGAATCTCGAGGTTACTGAGGAAGACCTGCTTGAAGATTTTGACCCAGAAAAACATGACCTAATTATGCAGGTAAATTCATTTTAATTTTCCTGTGAGGAATAAAAAAAGATGTCCCATCAGGAAGGCAGTTTACTCTTCCCTGGGGGCAGAATAGATTAATTTTGAGGGGAAATTTGTCGAAAGGTATCTTCAAAATAATGTTTAAAAATGAAACCAGGGATATTTGGTGATTAAAGTAAATAAATGGCCGTTGCCCCGGTGTTCCTGATACTGCTTCACCTGCCTGGTTGCTGCCTGTGTCTGGAACCCAATGCTTGCTTGTGCTGTTACAAAATAGCCAATATTTGTATACCAGTCCTATCATTACATTGTTATTAGGGCTTTAATTCTTTCTTGCATGAAATGGTTGAAATTTTTGGATGTAGTCAGACTGACATTTTAGTTCGTAGACACTAGTGCAAACACTGCCATTGTCCTCCACATGATTTAAATGTCTTACTTGAATAATGAATACCCATTGGCCATTATCATACGAGTATATTAACCACTTCAATTCCGGACACTTGCACCCCCTTCCTGCCCAGGCCAATTGTCAGCTTTCAGCGCTATCACACTTTAAATGCGCGGTCATGCAACACTGTACCCATATGAATATTTTAGCATTTTTTTTGAGACAGATAAAACTTTATTTTGGTGGCATTTATTCACCACTGGGATATTTATTTTTTGCTATATAAATGAAAAACTCCAACAATTTTGAAAAAAAGTGTTTCTTATAAAATTTTGCAAATAATCTTTCTTCATAAATCTTGGCCAAAATGTAGTCCGCTATCTTTTTAGTAAAAACAAAAAAACTCAAATTAGTTTATAACCAAAAATTATAATTTTTTTTTTATTTGTTTACATTTTTATTTTTTTTTTTTTTATATTATGTGTTGTGTTTTTGTTGTGACACTATACTTGTGGGGGGTGATGATTTTTTTTTTTTTTCTTTTTTGCACTGATTGCTTTTACACCCATAATGGCTGTAAAAGCAATCATTTCTATTTCTCTGTGCCTGCATTCTTGCAGCCATTGAGAAATACTGCGAGAGCTATGATTGGTCACAGCTTGTCACATGGTACAAGGCTGTTGTGAATAGCCTTATACCATGTGATCTCTGTGATCATTCACAGATTTCACTAGTAGTAAGCAATGATGTCAGGAAGTGACATCTTGTTTACTACTGCTCATGTGATCACGGATTGGCCAATCCGTGATCACATGAATCGGGACCTCACACAGAGGACCCGTACAGTGATCGGAGGACACAGCAGGCACTGGATCGCAGTGCCGCGCGCTCCCAGGTTGTGAATGTGGGTGACGTTTAGAAATGTCAACCCGCTTCAGCAGTGCTCCCGTCCGGCCATTTATAGACATGGGCCGGATGGGAAGTGCTTAAATATCAGCTCTACACAGACCTTACACCTGTAAGCAAAGCTTTAGGAACTTTTTTTTTTTTTTTTTAACGTCCGCAAACGTACGAAAAACCCGTAAGTGAATCACAAAAAACGTGCAAGTGCGAAACACCACACAAAAAAGTGCACTTAGGGGTGTGCTTTGTCCTTCCTCCAAAGGGGATGGACCTCTACCCTGATCCCCCGGGACACGAAGCTCCTGACAGGGACAAGGTTCCCATTTGGTCCACCTAGCCAAAAGGCCTGGCGGACCACCGTTCCTTGTGGCCAGCCGAAGCCAGCCACTCAGTACTTGGCCAGGGGTTCTCCCGAAGAGAAAACCCCCTAGGGACAGGGGAGGAAGGAACCAAAAGGCCACACATCCTCCCCCTAGACTTCAGGGTAGGCCCGAGGACCCACACCCTCCATCCTGTGAGGAAATAAAACACACACATAAGGTGAAAGTGACAAACAGTGGGAGAAATAATAAATTAAATAAATAAAAAGTGGTCGTGCCAAATGTGCACAGACCAGGCCCTGAGGCCTGTAGCAAAAATTGCCCCGAACTTAGCCAGAAGGCCTGGTCCTGAGGGCGCTGTGCAGAAAAAGTGTTTAAACACAGCCAGGTGTTACTAAGAGCACCCCTGAGGCGACCACTCAGGGGGCACTGGTTTGCGGACTTTCTGCCTTCCCGGCTCCGGGCCAGACAAGGTAGATCCGTTCAAATTAGGAGGAACTGGGCCCCTCCGGTCTTCCTGGGGGAATTACTCTCGGGGCCCAACAGCCTGTGGGTGCCTTGATTTCTGTTTCAGCCGGTACTAGCTGTCAGGACCCCCATCATGCCAGCAGGGGTACTATACAAACAGTCATCCCTGCAAAGCTAGAATGACCGTGGAGCACCCCTGCTGGACACTGATAAGAACAGATACTACACTTGATCTTAGCCAAAAGGCCGAGAAGCTTTAGGAACTGCTATGCAGGTAATACAACACTTCCCTGGCAGCTGTCAGGGGCATGGGTGATATCAGGGGCGAAGGTGGGTGAAGTGGATGTGTCTTTCTGGAAGAGAGGGCCTCCAAAACACTTGGAAGTGTCAAAGGTGGCTGAAAATATTATTGTTAAATGACAGGACAATGGGAGAAGCTAAGGACAACGCAGAGAGCCTAGGGATATGTTAAGTCTGATGTTTATAGGATGGTGACAAGGTCACTTTAAATGCAGAGCCTTGCTTTGCACTCATTTTTGAATAATTTTAGCACTGGGAAATCTCATCTACTGTAAAGAAGCCGATATCTGCGTATTAAAGTCTTGCAACGCGTGTAGTTTACCTTCGAGAATCACTTGAATGGAACCTCAATACCAGTCCACCTCTTGAAATATAACTGGAAAATAATGTAGATACATTTGATTTAGGAGTCAGTGTCCCTTTTGTCAGTCCTTTCCTATCACAACCGTTGTAGAAATGACGGCTGTGCAGAAATACAGTTGGCTTATTTCAGCCAATCAGAAATCATGGAACGGTTATAATCTGACCTGTGAATGATTACACTGTATATGTCAATATCATTCATACTTTAATTATGTAACCTCCTATGTAACGGTTTTTTATGTTGTTGTAGAAATGCTTTGGGGATGATTATTATGGAGTAGAGGAGGATCAGAAGCCACAGTTTGATGGTGAAGAGGAGTTGGATGGTGAGTCTTGGTACCAAGTATGCTTTTACTCTGTTTAATCTAATTACATATTTCTGGGCTCTGGTTTATGGCTCCTGACTCTTGTACAGGGGAGTGGAACTGGGATAACTGGACTGGAGCAGAAGGAGAGGACGGGACTGTTGAGGAGGATGAGTGTGATGATGGAGAAGAAGATGCCGATCTTCACTGCGATGATCCAAACTTTGTGGTAATGTTGTGATTATTACTACTTGAATTGGAAGTAATCGTATCACCTGTTGTACTGTCCATTTAAAGAATGTGTAAACCCAATATTTCATATTCCTGATATGTGCTTGTTGTAGCATGTACTTGTATGAAAATATATGCTGTGCTCTTTTGCATTGCTTCCTCTGTGTGAAATACCTGGTGTTCTTACTAAGTCCTTCTGCTTTCCTTTAAAAAAAAAAACAAAAAAACAAAAACTGACCACACTAGGCATGCTAGCACAGTATGATCAGTTCTGCTGTGCTAAGAACTAGGCCTGCTCTTCTGCATGGATCAGACCTCTGCTGACACAATCCCCCCCAGCACTCCCATTCACTAGGAAGATCAGTGTATGCTGTTTCTCTTCCCACTAGCTCTCTCAACTAATTTATGCAGCTGAGAACAGAGGGTATGTGATCACTTATAAAACAAAAACAAGGAAAAAAGTATTTAAAATCTTTTTTTTTTTTTATATGCATTCACAAATGTTTGCCTTTCATTTATATATTAAACTTAATGGGTTGTTTTAAAAGCTGAGGTTTTACATATTCTTTAATACTTTGTTCTGTGAACTGTGCTTTCGTGACATGGCCGGTATCCTGTTAAGTTTCATCTGTCATAGCTGGGGAACTTTGCCTTGTAATCACAGCTCAGCTTTGTCAAACCATATTTTTGGATATGCCTTTTCTTATTGTTCACCTTGATCTATTCAAGCTTAAAAACCAGGTTACATACATGTGTCTCTACAAGGGATGACTCCTGCACTGTGCAGACCTTTCCTGTTCTACAGACCGGTCGCTGCTACTTGCTCTTCTTGTGCAGGGTGACTGATCCTCTCTCCTTTAATACAGACCGGTCGCTGCTGCTTGCTCTTCTTGTGCATGGTAACTGATCCTCTGTCCTTTAATACAGACCGGTCGCTGCTACTTGCTATTTTTGTGCAGGGTGACTGATCCTTACTACTCTAATACAGACCGGTCACTGCTACTTGCTCTTCTTGTGCAGGGTGACTGATCTTCTCTCCTTTTAATACAGACCGGTCACTGCTACTTGCTCTTCTTGTGCAGGGTGACTGATCTTCTCTCCTTTTAATACAGACCGGTCACTGCTACTTGCTCTTCTTGTGCAGGGTGACTGATCCTCTCTCTCCTTTAATACAGACCGGTCACTGCTACTTGCTCTTCTTGTGCAGGGTGACTGATCCTATCTCCTTTAATACAGACCGGTCACTGCTACTTGCTCTTCTTGTGCAGGGTGACTGATCTTCTCTCCTTTTAATACAGACCGGTCACTGCTACTTGCTCTTCTTGTGCAGGGTGACTGATCTTCTCTCCTTTTAATACAGACCGGTCACTGCTACTTGCTCTTCTTGTGCAGGGTGACTGATCCTCTCTCCTTTTAATACAGACCGGTCACTGCTACTTGCTCTTCTTGTGCAGGGTGACTGATCCTCTCTCCTTTAATACAGACCGGTCACTGCTACTTGCTCTTCTTGTGCAGGGTGACTGATCCTATCTCCTTTAATACAGACCGGTCACTGCTACTTGCTCTTCTTGTGCAGGGTGACTGATCCTCTGTCCTTTAATACAGACCGGTCGCTGCTACTTGCTCTTCTTGTGCAGGGTGACTGATCCTTACTACTCTAATACAGACCGGTCACTGCTACTTGCTCTTCTTGTGCAGGGTGACTGATCCTCACTCCTTTAATACGGACCGGTCCCTGCTACTTTCTTTTTTGTGCAGGGTGGCTGATCCTCCATGCTGTAATACAGACCAGTCACTGCTGCTATCTTTTGTGCAGAGTGGCAGCTCTTGTATCTGCCCCCATGTAGTTTTTGCAGGCAGCCTATAATAGGATGACCTCCTGCATCCCACCTGCAACTGTAAACTCTGCACAGTCTATGCATAGTGCTCTGATCATATTAATTAATATAAATGTAAACAGGCAAAATAATATATATATAGATAATCAGTGACACACTGTGTACATAATATCTAGTGATAGGATACTATAAGGGTCTAAGACCCCAGATCTCTATAAACGTGCTATAATCCTATTATATTAACAAGTGAGAAACCAGTGAAACAACGCACATCCACAAAGTGTAAACCATATAATAAATGTGAATATATCCGAAGCAGGATAAGATGGTAGTGAATGATAGTCCAACTGGAACTTACAAGTGGTGAGTCTATAACTGAGCCCTGAGGAAATCACGTGGTTACCGTGACGTAACGCGATGGCTTGTAGGGAAATGCTAACATTGGGCAAGAGTTGCATTGGTCACAAGTCATTCCTTTGTTGTTTAGATGGATGCAGACTACAATCCTCAAGAAGCTCCTGCCGCATCACGTAAAGAAAGAAAGAGGCTACGGCTTGAGAGAGAAAAGAGCGCCAAGAGGAGAAAGAAGTCTGTGTTTGCTGAAGCTGTGAGCCAAGATAAACCTGTCTTTAATCCAGGTCAGTTAGATATGCAAGTCTGAGTAATATATTAATGACTGGGGTGTTATGTGTAGGTCAGATTTTGCACAATATGGCTGTGAGTCTCCCACACATTATGGCCAGTGTGTGTTTTTTTTGTTACCTTTATTTGGAGTGCACAAGGATCTACATGTTACTGCAGCTCACTACAACTGGGCTGCGTTGCAGTGTGAAATTATTATTATACAGGATTTATATAGCGCCGACAGTTTGCTCAGCACTTTACAATATAACGGGAGACAATACAGCAACAATACAGTTCAATACAAGAGGGATAGGAGGGCCTGATCCTGGGAGCTTACAATCTAGGAGGGAGGGGCTAGTGGTACAAAAGGTAGTAACTGTGGGGGATGGACTGGTAGGAAGAGTAGAAGATTCCATTATTAGCTGAGGGCAGGATAGGCTTCCCTGAAGAGAGAGGTTTTCAGAGATCACCTAAAAGTGAGCAGAGTAGGCGTTAGTCTGATAAATTGGGGAAGAGAATTCCAGAGGATGGGGGAAGCTCTGGAGAAGTCCTGGAGACGAGCATGGGAGGAGGAGACAAGGGAGCTAGAGAGCAGAAGGTCATGTGAGGAGCAGAGAGTACGGTTTGGGTGATATTTAGAGACAAGGCCGGTGATGTAATTTGGGGCGGAGTTATAAATGGCTTTATAAGTTATTGTTAATGTTTTGAATTTTTATCCGTTGGGTAATGGGAAGCCAGTGGAGGGATTGGCAGAGAGGGGTGACAGATACAGAACGGTTAGCAAGGTGGATGAGTCTGGCAGCAGCATTCTTGATAGACTGAAGAGGGGATAGCCTGCGATGAGGTCGGCCAATGAGGAGGGAGTTACAATAGTCAAGGCGAGATATAACAAGGGAGTGAATGAGTTGCTTAGTGGTTTCCGAGGTTAGGAACGGGCGTATCTTGGAGATGTTGCGGAGGTGAAGTCTACAAGATTTGGACAGCGAATGGATTTGGGACTGAAAGGACAGATGGGAGTCTAAGATTACACCTAGAAAATCATGTGCCCTAGTGGTTATTGACATTCATTTATTGTGGAAAAACACCAGTCACTACACTGTGTGAACGAGGCCTAAAACAGAACTAAAGTATTTTTATTTTTTTTTTTTTTTATAAGCAGTTCATTCATGCTTTCCTTTAAATTTGTGTTATATTTTCATTTATCGTTATCCATATGTCATCTTGCAGGGTCTGTTCCATTACCTGTATACGGCATTGGTGCAAAAAGATGAATGTGGTGCTCTTGTCTCAAATGATGTGATTATTTCCTCACAGAGGTTTCTGTGTGGGGAATACTTTTATTTTTGCCAGGAGCTAGGCTTGTGATAGAGCTGATTCATAAACAGAATATGTATGAGTATACTGATTGGTGACTAGGGTTGACTTTGGAGTTGGTGCAGGGCTTGCAAAGTAACATGAGAGAGACAAACTTCTGTGTGACTTTATTTGCCTGCTTGCTCCAGGCTAGTTGAGAAGTGAGGGACACTCAGGCTACTGGTATTTACTAAAGGAGGCCCCCGAAAGCAGCCTACATATTTTATTCAGTACAGTTTCCCTTTAAGGTGTGTTCCTTCACACAGACACTAACAATCATCAGATAATTATTATTTTTTTTTTTTTTGTAACACAGATGATAAAACATTCCAGGAATATGTAGAAGAGTATTACAAGCTAGACCATGAGGATATTGTGGATGATCTGCCGTGTCGATTCAAGTATCGGCAGGTGGTTGCTTGTGACTTTGGACTCAGTACTGAGGAGGTAAGAATGAGGAGCGCTAACCGTATTTCATTTTAAGATGAAAAATGACCCTTGCAGTGAGGAGCCCCCAGCACTGCCAGGCTTTAAATGCGTGTTTTGTATAGGAGGGGTACAGAAAAAAACAACTATACTTTCCCGATCTCTCATTTCCCGACAGCCAGTGATTTTTTTTTCTGTTTTCTGATGCTCTTTTTGGGTGGGCCCTCGGCGTCCTCACTTACACAGCAGGACTGCTGGTCTGGTATTGTATGTAGTGACACCAATGTACCTGGAATTGACAACAGCTTCAGCAGACTGATTATGCAGCTGAAAAAAGCCTTTAGGTGTGATGAGGGAGTTGCTTTTTTATGTTCTCCGTAGTCACACCGCACATTCAACCCTTGCAGGGTGGGGTTGATTTTTTTTTCCAGTTCAGTTTTAAATACCTAAAGTTTTGTTTGCCCAATCTCCGCTATGATTGTGCCTGCTGATTACAGTATAGTGAGAAGGAGCTTTACTTGCATAGTGGAAGCTGTCAAAACTCAACCTGCAGCTGTGTCAGAGATAACATGGCTAAAAGCTAGAAAGGGGTTGATTTTCTTGTGGTTTTTTTTTTAAATTTTTTTATTGTATTTATTTATTACAGGTGCTTATATAGCACCATCAGTTTTTTATTATTATTATTATTATTATTATAATACATGGTTTATATAGCACTATCAGTTTGCGGAGCACTTTATTATTATTATTATTATTATTATTATTATTATTATTATTAAGTGTTCTTGCAAGAACACTTATTGTTATCCCACATATATATTCTTATTCTTATTATAGCCAAATTTACCACCCTAACTCCTCCCACAGTTTTTACACTACATAGACCGTAAGATAAGGAAACGTGTGGATTGTTCCCAATTGGCGTGCTATTACTTTGTGGAACGTGTCGCCGAATGGTTCAAAAAATATTGCAGTTTTTGTGGTGAAATTTTCCCATAGGAATGAATGGAGGAATGACCTAAACTAGAGTGGGAGCTGACAAAAGCTAGAGTGTGAGATGAGAAATCAGAACATGATTTCTAAACTGCCATCACTCCCTCATTTTCAAGCCCACCTACACAAATCTTATATAAAAACGTTCAGCTATCCCTGCTGCCACTAAAAATGTTCACGGCTAAGCCATAGTCCTGATAGTTTTCACAATATGACCATTTGTTTGCAAGTCACGCAGCCCATTGACATTCATTGAAACTCCACTCCCAGCCACCTGAAATTTTAAGGGCCATTTCTAAACTGCGACTGTGCCTTCATTTTTAATATTTCAGAGACATACTATGCAACAAAATGTATGTCTGGGTCTTGTGATTCTCACAATATAAAGCTCTTTGGTGTAGGATTTATAATTTTTAAACTACAACCGTTTGAAGATGGCAACCGCCAGTGAAGTGAGCAAGTTGGAGCAGTTTGTTTTTAACCGCTCTTCTCTGCCCTTGCTGTAGAGTGCGTTGCCATAGAAACCCAGGTGTGGGAGGAGGCAGCAGAGTGACCAAAGCTAGAGTGTGAGCTGAAAAATAAAAGTTGAAATGCATTTCTCACTCTATCAAGCTTGCCATGTGCTTTTTAAATTTGATCAATCAATTGGTTAATGTAATGTTTACTATCTTTACTCCCTCCGCCCACTCCACACAGTTACTCTGCCCACTCCATAAAGTTACTCTGCGCAGTCCAACCTTTTCACAGTTACTCCGCCCACTCCAACCACACAACAGTTACTCCAGCCACTCCAACCACACAACAATTACTCCGCCCACTCCAACCACACAACAGTTACTCCGCCCACTCCAACCACACAACAGTTACTCCAGCCACTCCAACCACACAACAGTTACTCCAGCCACTCCAACCACACAACAGTTACTCCGCCCACTCCAACCACACAACAGTTACTCCGCCCCACTCCAACCACACAACAGTTACTCCAGCCACTCCAACCACACAACAGTTACTCCAGCCACTCCAACCACACAACAATTACTCCGCCCACTCCAACCCACACAACAGTTACTCCGCCCACTCCAACCACACAACAGTTACTCCGCCCACTCCAACCACACAACAGTTACTCCGCCCACTCCAACCACACAACAGTTACTCCGCCCACTCCAACCACACAACAGTTACTCCGCCCACTCCAACCACACAACAGTTACTCAAGCCACTCCAACCACACAACAGTTACTAAAGCCACTCCAACCACACAACAGTTACTCCAGCCACTCCAACCACACAACAGTTACTAAAGCCACTCCAACCACACAACAGTTACTAAAGCCACTCCAACCACACAACAGTTACTCCAGCCACTCCAACCACACAACAGTTACTCCAGCCACTCCAACCACACAACAGTTACTAAAGCCACTCCAACCCACAACAGTTACTCCGCCCACTCCAACCACACAACAGTTACTCCAGCCACTCCAACCACACAACAGTTACTAAAGCCACTCCAACCACACAACAGTTACTCCGCCCACTCCAACCACACAACAGTTACTCCGCCCACTCCAACCACACAACAGTTACTCCAGCCACTCCATCCACACAACAGTTACTCCAGCCACTCCACCCACACAACAGTTACTCCGGCCACTCCAACCACACAACAGTTACTCCGGCCACTCCAACCACACAACAATTACTCCGCCCACTCCAACCACACAACAGTTACTCCGCCCCCACTCCAACCACACAACAGTTACTCCAGCCACTCCAACCACACAACAATTACTCCGCCCACTCCAACCACACAACAGTTACTCCGCCCACTCCAACCACACAACAGTTACTCCGCCCACTCCAACCACACAACAGTTACTCCGCCCACTCCAACCACACAACAGTTACTCCGCCCACTCCAACCACACAACAGTTACTCCAGCCACTCCAACCACACAATAGTTACTCCAGCCACTCCAACCACACAACAGTTACTCAAGCCACTCCAACCACACAACAGTTACTAAAGCCACTCCAACCACACAACAGTTACTCCAGCCACTCCAACCACACAACAGTTACTCCGGCCACTCCAACCACACAACAGTTACTCCGCCCACTCCAACCACACAACAGTTACTAAAGCCACTCCAACCACACAACAGTTACTAAAGCCACTCCAACCACACAACAGTTACTCCAGCCACTCCAACCACACAACAGTTACTAAAGCCACTCCAACCACACAACAGTTACTCCGCCCACTCCAACCACACAACAGTTACTCCAGCCACTCCATCCACACAACAGTTACTCCAGCCACTCCACCCACACAACAGTTACTCCGGCCACTCCAACCACACAACAGTTACTCCGGCCACTCCAACCACACAACAGTTACTCAAGCCACTCCAACCACACAACAGTTACTCCAGCCACTCCAACCACACAACAGTTACTCCGGCCACTCCAACCACACAACAGTTACTCCGGCCACTCCAACCACACAACAGTTACTCAAGCCATTCCACCCAGTTACTCCGCCCACTCCAGTTGTAGACTACTGGTGGAGGCAAGAACACTTCACACAATTTCCCCAGAAATTGTAGCTTTTCTAGTTATTATTATTATACAGGATTTATATAGTGCCAACAGCTTACTCAGCGCTTTACAAAATAAGGGAGACAGTACAATTACAATACATTTCAGTCCAGAAGGAATCTGAGGGCTTTACATTTATATTGTATGTCAGTCCATACCCTCAAGGAGTGTACAATCTAAGGTCAGGAGCCAATTAACTTAGCAGCATGTCTTTGGAGTGTCAGAGGAAACCGGAGTACCTAGAGAAAACTCCCACAGGCACAGGGGAAACGTCGAAACTCTGTGCAGGTAGTGCCATGGTGTCTGCTGAACCGGCTGAATTTCAATCCGTATGGCCACCTTTAGTGTACGATTTAGAAGATTGTCCCTCAATCCATGTGATAACGATCGGATTGGGAGATATTCCTTTGTAGCCTCACCCCCTGCCCAGTAGATCTTCAAGGTGAGGGTAAATTGTACTGTTGTATTTATTTTTCCAAATTGATTCTGTTTTTATTCCTGATACCAGATCAATGGTGTTGAATCTATGCAAAAATGTTGGTTGACTAAGATGATCTGAGTTTTCAATGGTCAGATCATCTGGCTGCCATCTCATGCCTGTGGTCATGCTTAGATTGAATGTTATGGATATACTTGTATCTACCGTGGAATTGGAGTTCAGTAATGTAATCTCCTACAGATCCTGACAGCTGATGACAAGGAACTGAACAGATGGTGTTCACTAAGGAAGACTTGTATGTACAGGTGAGAACCTCCTTGTGTCCACATGTTGGCAGAACCAGTATATATGGGTGAGGGGGATTCAGAAGGAGCCACGGTTCTTCTGTAGAGTGCACTGACCCCATTATTGCTGAACCCCAGGCAAACGGGTAGAAAGTAGAAAAACTGTGGCAACATTCAGTAATTACAGGTCTCCTTTCTGCCCTAGCCAGTGACTGGACAGTAACAGGAGAAGCACCCAGATTTCATCTCTTAGTTACTCTGCTTTCTTCTCCTTTCAGCGCAGTGTTCTGCAGCACAACTAATTGGCTTCCTGTGCTGCTTCTCTCTCCCCTTTTTGAGCTCTGCTATATAGGGACTGCAGAAGGCTGGTACCATCATAAATGCATGTACTTGCATTGCTTGTATTTAAAATAACAAACAAGCATTTATATATTGAATAGATGACTGTATTTATTTTCTTTTATGTCTGCCTGGAGTTCAGCTTCTAAGATGGACTGGATTGGTCCAGCTTGGCCCTATGTATGTATGTATATTTCATACCTGAGGGCCGCTGGGGAAGCTGACAATCACTGTAGTAGTCAGTGCTAGCCACTATCTTCTAGATCCTGTGCTGAGTGGCTTCCCCTCTGCAAACGAACAGGGGGTTGCACAGGTATAATGTATGTACATCGGATACAGTGCATTGTATGAATCTCATCCAAATGAGCCCTAAGAGAATACAGGGTCAGAGTTCTACTTAACTGATGGTCACTCAAAGACAACTATACTGGCTGCACTGCACCGTCTTGGTCATTTTTCCAGTTGTATCCAGTCTAAATGGGAAAGAGAAGAAATAAAGCTGTGTGGGAGGGGGGGGGGAAAAAAGGGGGGCTAAACAAAGAAAAGGAGGGAAAAAAATGGAGACGGGGGATAGGCTGTTTCCCCGCTCTCCTTCAGGTGTTCCATGGTCCGTGAGGAGTTTCTGTCCCAACAGCCAGGGGGTCCAAATTTTAAAGTGCTTCTCAGTTTTTTAACTCTGCTGTTAGTTGTTCCATAAGTTTGATGTCTGATACTCTAGTGCACCAATATGCCAGCGTATACACACTTTTGCTACATTCAAAAGGTGTTTAAAAAATATATTTTTATTTTGTTAGTATTTAAACAAGATCTGTGTATCATGGATGAAATAGGTGGCTAGTGTATCTGCCAGGGACCATTCGGTCATGTTTTCAGTACTGGCCTTTACTTCTGTCCAGAAGCTTGGCAGCACAGGGCAGCCCCAGAATAGAATGGAGCTATGATCCTTCTGTTTTTAGGCATCTTTAGCACAGGGGAGACACCTGAGGGCTAATCTTATGCAGGATTTTGGGGGGTTTTGTACCACTGTGAGAGTGTTTTGTACCCATTTTCTTCATATGAGTTTGCCACGTAGGCTTTGTAGGCAAACAGAAGGATTCTATCTTTTTGTGTAGGTGTAAATGTTATGCCCAAGTCTCGTTCCCATTTTGTAAAGGAAACCAGGGTCCTATTGTCGACCACCTGTGATCAACATGGAGCAGAAAAGCTTGTCTAACCGGGACCGCCTCCGCACCAATGGGAGGGTGTGGCAAAAGTGTGCTGGTTTTAAGGATTGATTTAGTAAAACTGAAAGTGGAGCCAATTGAAGGATGAGACGTAATCTGATTTGTTAAGGACTGTGTCGGAGTAGTCCAGGCCAGACTACAAGCTTCTTTGCCTCGTCAAATCAGAGAGTGCCTTGTATTCTTGGAAATGGCATTCTGTGAATGGTTGCAATGGCGTGCATTCATTACCAGGGGGTTAGTGTGCAGAGAGAGGGAGGTCGCTTGACACAGAACCTTGGAAGATAATGGCTTTCACTATAGTAGCCTTGAGTACTACAGTGATTATCAACTGCTTCCGAATTGTCCAGTTGAGAGATATGCATACATCAGCTCATACATTAGGATCATCAGTTGTTATAAAAGCTACAGATTATAGAATGTTGAAAAATGACTGACTTGTGTTAGCACAGTAACACTTATATGAGACATAAGAGATTAGATTTACGTATACTTTCATAATCAAAGGTATGATTTTGATTTGAAACTCAACCAGTTTAAATATGCACTTAAGATCACACCTGGAGTTCAACTTTAGAGCAGGTTCACATATGTACGGGGCCGGTTTCAGTGTGATTTTTCAAAGGAGTCCAGTGTGGTTTCAATCACTGATTCAGGTGTGCTTCGGGTGCGAATTTTTAAAGTGATACTTGAAATCGCGCCGGAACTGGACTGAAAATTGTACCAGACTCTTTCTAAAATTGCATTGCGGTCGGCCCGCACAAATGTGAACTGGCTCCATAGAAGGCCAGTTTGGTTCACAGGCCGTGCAAATTGGATGTTGTTCAAAATGCTTCCGATTCGCATATATGTGAAATGGGGCTTAAAGTAAAATGTACTCCTCTCCCCATAAAATATATTTGTAAGGTTGAGTGTTCCTGTGGAGGAGTTGGTCTGTGCCAGAAACCAACTTTTTAGTGTCTCTAGGTCAAGTTCTACTCTTTGCCAGGTAAGAAACTTTCAAACCATGTGTTTGACTTCTGTTACAGATCTGAAAAAGAAGACCTTTATGACCAAAATACCTTCAGCCAGAAAGCCGAGAATCTCTGGAAGAAGCAGCAAGTCCTGAAGTCTCTTACTGAGAGGTAGGATTCCTTGTTTATTAGGAACATTCGTGGAGTAGCAGCAGGCAATCACAGTTTATCTTAGAATGGGCAGATTAGTTGAGGGCTCATTCATATGAGCGGTGGATGCAGGGGAGCAAGGGCTCTCCTACAGGGGGACAGAGACACCCAGAAAGGCACATAATATTATAGGAGGGGAGGGATTGGAATGGTTTTGAGGTTTTCATTGAGCTCTGTGTTGTCCTATCTTGGTGTCACTAGGGCAGGAAGTGAGGGGACATCTCTCCAGAGATGGCACAAGCGGTCAAAAAAGAACAAAAAACGAGAGGTTCTATTGAAAACTAAAAAAAAAAAATGTTTTAGGGGTTACCTTAAATATTTAAGTCAGAATGCCATTATTGGCTGTCTCCTGAAAATGTTTTTTGCTTGGCTGTCTGGCTTAGGTGCTTGTTTGAAATCTATGGCTCCAAGTATTGTCAATAGATGAGCTTAAAGCAGTGTTCCACGCAAAAGGGGAAGCTCCTCTTTAAAGATTGTTCCCCTGCTCCCTATTAAGGATTGGCACCTTTTGGGGAGCGGGTACCTGAAATTGACAGGTACCCGCTCCCACTTCCGCTACAATCGCCTAGGTGATCGGAAGCAGACGTTGTCCTCCTACCCTCCCTCCCCGTAGTCTTCTGGGACATGCGACAGGTCCCAGAAGACGTCGGGGCCATTCAGGAAGCGCAGCGCTACTCGCGCATGCGCAGTAGGCACCCAGGTATGAAGCCGCAAGCTGCTACAGCCGGGTGCCCACACTGAAGATGCTGACATCTGGAACACAGGACGGCTGGTGAAACAGGCTGCGGGGAGGACACCGCGGGATCCTGGGACAGGTTTTGTAGCTGCTGACTTTTATTTTTTACAGTGTGAGTGGAACTCTGCTTTAAAAGCCAGGCAACTAGCTTTTTTTTAGAATGTCAGCAATAGCAGCTTACATATTTCTCTAAACACAGTTTTCCTTTAAGGCAGGGGTATTCAACCTGTGGCCCAAAAAAAGTTAAATAAAAAAATAAAAGCTTTGTAAAAATGTGTTTTTACGCTTATTGAATACATGCAGCCGAAGAAAGTTTGGCAGTGTCTCTTTATTGGACTTTTATCTTCCCAAAGAAAAATCTTCCACTCTTCACAATCATGCCTTATTCATGTCATTTGTTTTCGGCAGCACCTATATTTGTGAGCAGCTCTTTTCTAGGATGAAGCACACTAAGGGCAAAATTAGAACCAAAATATCTGATCGGCACCTTGAGAATTCATTGAGAATTGCCACTACATCCTTCGAACCAGATATTGATGTGTTCATTTATCAAAAACCATAACAAATATCACACTAGTTTTATGCTGCCCTCTTTTGTAATGTTTTTTTTTTGGTAATATTTTTTATTACTCAGGTACATTATCTTTATCAGTGATCATTAACTTGTGATCTGCCAAACTTTTTCAGCTCATCAGCTATCCTTATTGTTAGTGTATTCTATGTGTGGCCCAAGACAATTCCTCTTCTTCCATTGCGGCCCAGGGAGGTCAAAAGTAGGGGCGGACTGACAACTCATGGGGCCCCTGGGCAATAGGGGATCATGGGGCCCCTGTGTTTTTGCCCAAACTCAAAAAAGCCTATGAAAAAGGTACCAGGGGCATCTCATGGGCCCCCTACTGACTCTGGGCCCTCGGTCAGTGCTCGAGTTTCCAAATGGTCAGTCTGCCCCTGGTCAAAAGGTTGGACACCCCTGCTTTAAGGTCTCATGTGAGGGGTTAGGTTAACTGTTAAGTTTTGGTAAGGGAGCACTTACAAGAGAACTGCTTGTGAAAGGGGGTGTTTTGCACCCCTGAAGCATTGTACCATACCATTTCTCCCTACTTTTACTGGTATTGTTCTCTGGTAATATTACTAAGCTTTTGTCTGAACATGTATGTAGAAATATTATGCTCTAAATAAATAGAGACATGTCCCAGGCAATTTAAAGTCATGCGGGTTAAGTTTGTGCTATACTTTGACTATGTATATATGAATGTTTTATACTATTGGTGGATGGTGTATGTTTGTTTTTCCTTTTAGATGTTACTAAAGCATTTATCTGTGGGGGAAAAAAAAAAATTCAGTACCTTTCTGTAGTACATGCAATTATATTTATTTTTAAAAATGTTGCAAATACCCATTGATCTGCCAGAAACTCAATGCGCTCCTAATGTCTGTTTGACAGATACATTTGCACTGCTGCACTGAAATTCCATGCAGTATAAACAGCCCTGTCCAGTTTACCCCTTGAGGACTACAGAACACATCCCTCTTTTTATGAACAGAGGAGAAAAGGTGGTGTTCTTTAATCCTCAAAAGGAGAACTGGGCGAGCTGTTAACACTGCTTTGGATTTCAGCGCAACAGCAGCTCACTAGATTTCTGGCAGGATCAAAGGGAATTTTTCTGTATCTGTAGCATTTTTAGAAGCAGAAAAGCATGCACTATTTTTTTTTTGCAGACATACACTTATCCCCTAAAAGATTAGTTTACCCTCACAGCAGTTTTCACCACCTTCTGAAAAGCGATCCGTGGTGGATTGGTTTTAGAGGGCTTGGAGGCAATATGTCATCTCCTTGTTGCCTGTTTTAACCCTTGAAATTCCACAGCAGTAGGTCACAACCATGTACACTACACACAGTTGCAGGGTAGTTGCAGTGTGACTCTGTTCACTTGAATGAGTTGTGTTTGGTGTTGGTAGCAAACACAACATGGTGTATACATTGTGCAGTGGCCGCAGCAGGAATACATTCCCTTCTGACTGCAATGTTTTATATTATGATTGCAAATTTGCAGCTTAACCGCCTATTTACACTGCCTTCTTGCTTCATGTGTAAATTTATTTATTTTAGGTACTTATATAGCGCTGTCAATTTATGCAGCACTTTTTCATATACAGTGGGGATCGAAAGTTTGGGCACCCCAGCTAAAAATTTTAATTAATGTGCATAAAGAAGCCAAGGAAAGATGGAAAAATCTCCAAAAGGCATCAAATTACAGATTAGACATTCTTATGTCAACAAAAGTTAGATTTTATTTCCATCATTTACACTTTCAAAATAACAGAAAACAAAAAAATGGCGTCTGCAAAAGTTTGGGCACCCTGCAGAATTTATAGCATGCACTGCCCCCTTTGCCAAGCTGAGACCTGCGAGTGTCATGGATTGTTCTCAATCATCATCTGGGAAGACCAGGTGATGTCAAGCTCAAAGGTTTTAAATGCCCAGACTCATCTGACCTTGCCCCAACAATCAGCACCATGGGTTCTTCTAAGCAGTTGTCTACAAAACTGAAAATAGTTGACGCTCACAAAGCTGGAGAAGGCTATAAGAAGATAGCAAAGCGTTTTCAGATGTCAATATCCTCTGTTCGGAATGTAATTAAGAAATGGCAGTCATCAGGAACAGTGGAAGTTAAAGCAAGATCTGGAAGACCAAGAAAAATATCAGACAGAACAGCTCGCAGGATTGTGAGAAAAACAATTCAAAACCCACGTTTGACTGCACGATCCCTCCAGAAAGATCTGGCAGACACTGGAGTTGTGGTCCACTATTCCACTATAAAAAGATACTTGTACAAATATGCTCTTCATGGAAGAGTCATCAGAAGAAAACCTCTTCTACGTCCTCACCACAAAAATCATCATTTGAACTTTGCAAATGAACATCTAGACAAGCCTGATGCATTTTGGAAACAAGTTCTGTGGACCGAAAATTGAACTTTTTGGCCGGAATGAGCAAAGGTACGTTTGGAGAAGAAGGGGCACAGAATTTAATGAAAAGAACCTCTGTCCAACTGTTAAGCATGGGGTTGGATCAATCATGCTTTGGGGTTGTGTTGCAGCCAGTGGCACAGGGAACATCTCACGAGTAGAAGGAAAAATGGATTCAATAAAATTTCAGCAAATTTTGGATGGTAACTTGATGCCATCTGTGAAAAAGCTGAAGTTAAAGAGAGGATGGCTTCTACAAATGGATAATGATCCTAAACACACCTCGAAATCCACGGGGGATTACATCAAGAGGCGTAAACTGAAGGTTTTGCCATGGCCTTCACATTCTCCTGACCTCAACATAATTGAAAATCTATGGATAGACCTTAAAAGAGCAGTGCGTGACAGACAGCCCAGAAATCTCAAAGAACTGGAAGACTTTTGTAAGGAAGAATAGGCAAAGATACCTCAAACAAGAACTGAAAGACTCTTGGCTGGCTACAAAAAGCGTTTACAAGCTGTGATACTTGCCAAAGGGGGCAGTACAAGATATTAACTCTGCAGGGTGCCCAAACTTTTGCAGACGCCATTTTTTTGTTTTCTGTTATTTTGAAAGTGTAAATGATGGAAATAAAATCTAACTTTTGTTGACATATTATAAGAATGTCTAATCTGTAATTTGATGCCTTTTTGGAGATTTTTCCATCTTTCCTTGGCTTCTTTATGCACATTAATACAAATTTTTAGCTGGGGTGCCCAAACTTTCGATCCCCACTGTATACTGTACATTCACATCAGTCCCTAACCCTCAAGGGGCGTAAAATCTAAGGTCCCTAACTCACATTCATACATACACATACTAGGGCCAATTTAGACAGGAGCCAATTAACCTACCAGCATGTCTTTGGAGTAAATGAGCCCTAAAAGAGTAGTATTGTGTTTCTAAGCTTTGTCTGAACATGTATGTATGTTTTAGTGTGCTTACTAAAAAAAAAACAGACATTATATAGTGGTACCTGGCTTCCCCTGCATCATGTGGCATATGGTCAAATAATGCAGGGAATGCATTGCTCATTTCAAGGCAGGCAAGGATTATACGTGTGGGAAAAGGGTGCAGTCCAAGGCTGTCTTAACAAAATGCACTAGAGCAAGGGGTAAGCATGTATTCATTTTTAGGACTGAAAAATATGTATTTTAAATTTTAAATGCTTTTGAAAAAATAACACAACTATTTTATGTATACTCTGCAAGTGCTGAAAACTCAGAATCTACAACGTCCTCCAAGACGAAAGTAGGAAAGAAACGCAGAGAGAAACTAAAGAACCAATCAGAAGAAAAAAAGATGCCATTCAAATCTGTTGAAACTGAACCAACTGCACAGCTGGGCCCGGGTCAGAAAAAATCTCCATACAATAAAGCTTCACTGAAGCTGGAGATAGGAGAGAAACCAGCTTTTGCTGAAAAAGAACTGACAAAGCAGCTTTTGTCTAAAGGGGTTCATGGTGAAAAAAGGACAAAGGACCAACCAAATGCTAGCAGTAGACCTGCCGCGGTGAAAGACTATGCCAAGGCACAGGTACCAAAGAAAGCCGTGAATAAAAGCACAGTGGAAAAGCCAGGAGTGAATAAAAACACAGAGAATAAGCCAAGTCCCAAAAGTATACCAATGGAGAAGGAAGACTCTGCCAAGGATAAAGAACTGAAGACTGCAGTGAATAAAAGCACCAAGAGCAAGCCAAGTGCCAACAGTATGGTGTCAGGGAAGAAAGACTCGGCCAAGGCTAAAGTGCTGGAGGCAAAAGTGAATGACCTGTGTCTGAGAGAAAAGAAGAAGAAACCAAAACGGAAGGCTGGGCATCTTCTGGGTGCCATGGTGCGAATGGGTGGGAGGGAATTTAGTGGGCAGAGACTGCGGGCATATGGCTTGAACCCCAAGAGGCTGAAGTATAGGCAAATGGGCAGAGAAAGGCGGAAGATGAAGGAAAAAAAACTAAAGAAAACCACAAAAGAAGACAAAATACAGGACTGTTAACGCTACAAACATAAATTTATTATAGAACCCAATTTAAAATGCTTTATTGCGCCAGTTAATGTTTTTTTTCACGTGTACAGATAAAACATTTTTTCTTAAGTTTTAAAACGCAGGTTAGGATAAATATGTATTCAAATCTTTTGTCATGTAAATACTCCTTATCAGCTTTGGGAACACCTTCTCTCTTCAATGAGTCCTCCACCCAGGCCAATTTTGGTTTGTTTTGACTTGGTATAGAGAAGTGCTGTTTGGGAGGATTTTTCAGTGCCGCCAACTATAGCCTGCAGCGCTGATCATTTCTTTCGGCGAGGAAGTCTACCCGGCAGCAGACTGCAGGAACTCAGTGATTTCCCCCATCCACATCGGGTGTGTGTATGTGGGAACTGGATTAACTTAGATTGCGGATACCCTAAAGCTAAACTTCAGGCAATTTAATGAGATAAATAAATGCAGCTTTGTAATCATGAACACATAATTTAATTTTTTTTTTTTTTATTGCAAGTGGTACAATTTTCTAAATTATGCCTTATATCAGCCTTTTGCACTTCCATGTACAGTGGTCAGACTGGAAGGGGTAGAAGCAGCAAAAGAAGCAGGTTGTTTTGCAATGCTCATGTGCTAACAAGGAGCATGCGGATAGGAGGAGAGATCAGAGATAAGCTCATTAACCATTTCAATACCGGACACTTTCACATCCTTCCTGTCATTGCCCTCTCTTCCTATGGGAGTATGTAATTACCCTCTGCCCCTCACCTTGCTGCATAACTTTTTATGTAGCTGCTGGTCAGAGAGTGAAGGGGAATACTTGAGATACAGCTCTGAGTCTGCTAGGCCTCCTGCCATCACATCGAAGGAGGCAGCTTTTACAGGTAAATAATATTACCAATATATTCACTACATCTAAGGAATGGTAAGCTGCAGTATATTGCTATCAATGATATATAAATATCTAGAGCTTCACTGATCGTGTGTATGTACAATTGTGCTCAAAAGTTTGCATACCCTGGCAGAAATTGTGGCATCAATATTGATATTTTGACTGATCATGCAAAAAAAACCCCAAAAAACTGCTGTTTATTTAAGGATCGTAATCATATGAAGCCATTTATTATCACACATTTGTTTGGCTCCTTTAAGTCATAGTGATAACAGAAATTGCCAAAATGGCCATGATCAAAAGTTTACACACCCTGGAATGTATTGCCTTGATACAGATGCATGAGGTCGCACACACAGTTAAAATGGCAATTAAAAGTTAATTTCCCACATCTGGGGTTTTTTAAATTGCAATTAATGTCTAACTAGTCAATGTGTTTGTTAGCTCTCACAAGGATGCACTGAGCAGGCTAGATATTGAATCATAGGGAGCAGGAGAGAACTGTTAAAAGACCTGCATAACAAGGTAATGGAACTTTATAAAGATGGAAAAGGATATAAAAAGATATATACAAAGACTTGAATATGCAAGTCAGTACTGTTCAATCACTAATTAAGAAGTGATAATTTGGGGATCTCTTGAAACTAAGCCAAGGTCAGGTAGACCAAAAAAGACTGCAGCCACAACTGCCAGAAGAATATTTTGGAATAAAAAAAAACCCACAGGCAACTTCAGCAGAAATTGGTTGTTCTGGAGAAAGACAGTGTGGTTGTTTTAAGGAGCACAATACAATGATACTTGAACAAAAAAGATCTGCATGGTGAGTGGCAAGAAAGAAGCCTTTACTGTGCCAATACCACAAAAATGTCCGCTTACAATATGGCAGAGAACAACCCTGACTTGCCTCACAGCTTCTGGCACACTGTAATGTGGAATGACGAGACCAAAATAGAGCTCTATAGTCACAACCATAGGCGCTATGTTTGGAGAGGGATCAACAAGGCCTATAGTGACAAGAATACCATCCCAACTGTGAAGCATGGTGGTGTCTTACTGATGTTTTGGGGGTGTGTGACTCTAAATGCATGGGGAATCTTGTGAAAATTTATGGCAAGATGAATTCAGCATGTTATCAGAAAATACTGTGAGGCAATTTGCATTCTTCTGCATGAAAGCTGCCCATGGGACGCTTTTGGACTTTCCAGCATGCCAATTACCCTAAGCACAATGCCAGGTTGACCCTCCAGTGGTTACAGCAGAAAAGGGAGTTCTGGAGTGGACATCACAGTCTCCTGACCTTAATATTATTGAGCCATTATTATTATTATCAAGATCTCAAACGTGTGATTCATGCAAGACATCCAAAGACTTTGCAGGACCCTGGAGGCCTTTTTCCAAGATGAATGGGCAGATATATCACCTGCAAGAATTCTGGGCCTCAAAGGGCAACTTTTACAAAAGACTGCATGCTGCCATTGATTCTAAAGGGGGCAATACTCAGAAATAAGAACTAAGGGTATGCAGACTTTTCAACAGGGGTCATTTAATTTGTTTGCTTGTTGCCATGTTTTGTTTTATTAAAAAATAAGGGTAGTATAGTCAAACCAATGATCACCTCACCCCATGTAGCTTCCCCCCCCATACACACACTTCATTTTCCCGGATACAGCCGCTAACAGCCCTAAAACATTGCACTTCACACCATCTGTTTCACTTTCCATCTCATGTGGGTTCCCAGAGCCACACAGCACACCTAAAAATCAATCCTTAAGTTAGTAAGGACTTGTACCTTTACCCCCTCCTGACCAATCACAACATCCTTACCGGAGATCACTGGCATCCCCTTTCCATTCACTAAAGGTTCCTCCAGTGTGCAGTGTACGCTATTTGCTATCTGTGCCCTTGTGGTTATGTGTTGGTCACGTGTAACCTGCTACTGACAATGTGGTCTGTTGACAGGGACACTTTTTGCTTCAATTGTGGAGGATGACCTTCTGAGAAAAGTCTAATAAAAAAAATTAAATAAAAACAAAAACACAGGAAAAAAAATACAGTGGCGGATGGGTATCTCCCAGGAGAGCTTAAAGGAGAGCTCTTTTTTTTCCTGTTCTGGAAACTAAGGTAAAGATGGGGGATGGTTGCTGCTAGAGATGGTGGGATGGGTGTAGGTGAAAGCTAAGGTTCTAGCCTCCGAATTTGAGACCTGCTGGAGCTACCATCAAAATACCTGGAGGATATAGCTTTATTGTTTAGGGAGATTTATACCTTTTGGCTTGTGTCTGTAAATGTAGGCCTGTTAGCACTGTCATCAAGATACCTGAGAGCTGTAGCACAGGATCCCCTGTAATGCCCCTGATCAATATACATAAGTCCATATTGGGGCAATGACTTCACCCAGGATACCCTATATGTCTTAGTTTACGTTTAGCTGGTGGACCCAGGAGCTGTATTTCCTTTGGCGGGTGAAAAGGTGTCTCATTGAGATTGATGGGGCTCTGCAACCTTGGTTGATGTGATTAATAATGAGATTGCTATCTTTTCTTTAAATAAAGGACTTGCCAAAGTGCATCAGTGTGTTTATTTACACTACAGATTGTGTGAACTAGTAGGGGTGCTATGTACCCCTTATTTATTCACATAGGGAGGGCTGGATGCATGAAAGCTCCTTAATGCAATAAATAAGTGAAACCTTGCGAGCAGCTCAAACTCAGCTCTTACACAATATCTCATCCATCTTCTCAGCGAAAGCTGCTCACTCTTTACACATACTCTTGTTCATGTAACAAAAACTCAGAAATTGTGCTGTGCTTTCTCCTTAACCAATTCATTACCGGGCACTTTTACCCCCTTCCCTCCCAGGCCATTTTTCAGGTTTCAGCGCTCTCACACTTTGAATGGCAATTGCGCGGTCATACAACATTGTACCCAAACTAAAATGTTATCATTTTCTTCACACAGCTAGAGCTTTCTTTTGGTGGTATTTAATCATCGCTGGGGTTTTTATTTTTTGCTAAATTAACAAAAAAGCCCGAATTTTTTTTTTAAAAAACACGTTTTTCTTTGTTTCTGTTATAAACGTTTGCAAATAAATAATTGTTCTTCATAAATTTAGACCGAGATGTATTCTGCTACATGTCTTTGGTGAAAATAACCCAAATTAGGATGTATTTTTTAGTTTGTAGGAAAGTTAAAGAGTTCACAAACTATGGTATAGATCTGAATATTGATCAATCCTGAAGTACTGACAGCCAATCTAATTTCTTGAGGTCCAAGAATATCAGAACAGTACAGATATCCACCAAATGACCCCTTTTTGTAGAGTAGACAGTCCGACGTACTTCATAAGAGGAATGGCGAGTTTTTTGAAGTTGTATTTTTTTTTTTTGTCATTTTTCGGAAAATGAAAAAATAAAAAAAATTATTTTCGCTATTTTTTTTTTTTTTTTTTTTACATACTGTCACCAGTGTAGTACAGCGTCATCATATAACTGGCATGGTGGTGATCAGGGACACTGACTGGTGACAGTATGAAAAAAAAAATATTTTTTTATTTTTTTTATTTTAAATTTTTTATTACATTTTTTTTTTTTTTTTTTTTTTAAGATTTTTTTTTTTTTTTTTTACACAATTTGCTTATAGCAAAGAAGTACTTTGCTATAAGCAAGCATTTACCTGAATGACATTGATTCATTCAGGGTTTTTTTTTTTTTTTTTTGTGCTCAGCTGTGATTTGGCCACAACTAATCACATGGCATGTGCATGTGATTAGCTGTGACCATTCACAGCTAGGCAGTAGTATACAATGGATGGCATGAATGAAGCCATCCATTGTATACAACTGTCATGTGACCTGCTGTGATTGTTCACAGCAGGTCACATGGTACCGGCAACGGGGGCCCGTACTCAGATATGTCATCGGCCGTGTCCGAGGTACACGGCCGGTGACAGATCACGCCGCTGGCTCTGCAAGCGC